AAGATACACAACTTTGCAATATATAGGTTCTACATTTTATACATAGGTATAGGTCAACCTTCTATAATTAGACTCGGCTACATTTTCAAATTGGATTTACTCCACTCCATTTGACAGTTACTTAATTTGTCTTTGGTTTAAAATTTTATTTACATTATTAGCAAGAATGAAAGAAATGTGAAAGAGATTTTGTAAAGATCTTGAATATGACAGCTGAACAATCACTTTGTACTGATTATTACATTAATACAGAGGTCATCCGTCTATAAGAGGTGTCTTTGATATTTTGTCTTATCTTTCTACTATCAAGTTATGTACCTTTATCTCTATACTACCCAATCTTGAAACACTTAATACTAGCATTGAAGCACTTAATGCCGGAGTAAACTTTCACTTTTCTCATTTTGGTACCCGATTGTGTAAAAAACGGAATTCATCTTTGGTAGTGAGGTCAAGTCCTTCGAGACTTTGTCTATGTTTATGTAAACAAGTGAGGTATAGGTATATGGTGGGAAGATCTAACGATGGTTACCATTTCTAACTTCTTCCATATCCTTGGTGCCAGTATGGAATGTTTCTTCTGGCTAAATACTTACATTGTTTTCTGACATGGTGAACTAGCAGCTTGTTTTATGGTTTTTGATAATAAAACCCCTAGCCGTGCTGGTAACACAATCTCTATCTATATGATTTATACACTGATACAACCTGGACATCTGTGCTTGCTGTTAGTAATTTGAATTGGAATATATCTATCTCCAAGGAATTTTTAAATGTCATAATTCTACAAGTTTCTGGGTTTTTTTTCAGGTAGGATTTTGTTTGGATTTCATCCGCTTTGTTCATGCTGGTCTTCCATTTCAATGTTTTCTAGAATTTCTAATAACACAATTCTCAATATTGGATGAATCAAATGGCTTTTCACTTTGCGGCAACGTCTTAAGATAACACTTTGTAAAACAAAGAAATAATCAATGGTGATTAATTAATAATGATGTACATGTAATTATCTTTAACTGATAGCTGTCTGCGTGTTCTGTTTTATTGTTAAATGTGCAGGATGTCGATAATGAACTAATTAAGTAAGAGCATGATATTGATGCAGTTGTGTTTATCAGTTTCAAGATGCATGTAAGTCAAACCCCTTCTGGTTACATTAGATTCATGGTGCATCAAGTTTTGTTGTTTAGTAACCTCTTCTACCCAATATTACAGTTAGTACTAATTGGTGAGCATACTAAAATATAAATAGTTAAAGGAGCTTATTGTTGTCAGAAAAGTATTAAATTGAGTTTATCTGACACAACTATTCAAATATATAATCAACGGAACCCATAATCCTTCCGCACCATGACCTCCCCACGCCACTGGATTAATTAAACAGAAGTTAGGTTATTTACTATTATTATTATTATTCTTCATCTTCAGTAGTGCTTCATTGTATCCGGTGATATTTCTAAGCACTTAACAGTTTGTAGTAATATTTAAACAAGTGTATTTTTAATTCTGATTTAAATTTAACAAAAGTTGAACTTTCTCTGATTGTTCTTGGTAGCTTATTCAACATGTGGGCACCATTTATAGGGAAAGATGGTTTTCCTCATAACTCTTGAACATACAATCAATTTATATTCAACATTAACTTTATCTGTGGATTAAAAATTTTAAACGAAGACAAAATGTCAGCTTATAGAAAAACTTTACACAAATTTATCATTGACCTGAATCAAAGAGGGAGTGCCATTTTAATATCCCATAAAACCTGATGACTGCATTGATAAAATGCTTCAACAATGGACAACAATGCAGAATATGATGGTCTGCCCTGTTGAATTCTTTCACATGAGATTTAACAGTTGTATGATTATATGATATTTTGCATCAGCTGCATTAAAAATAGCCGTACATGACAAAACCAGTACTTGGTGTGAATTCATCATTTGACTTTGAAATTCTAGTCTGACAATAACTGCCGAATTGTCGTCAATGGCATCAGTGGCGGGGAAATATTCAATATCCTTTCCAGGGAGAAGAAAAGCAGGACATGTCAATAGTTAAATTAATAGGTTGTGGGTTAATCAATGAAAAAAGAAATTGTGGTGGTGAAGCCTGGTGCAGTTGTTAATCACTATGGCTTCCCTTTAGGCGAGGCGTCTGCAGTATTGTTGATACAAAAACAATATGGACTTTATAGTTTTCTCATGATAATGTAACAAAAATAGAATTTGTCTGAGGACTATTGAAATAAAAATTACCCAATTTGTTGGTTAATCTTCAGCCTTTTTATCTGTATTCCCTTGGGGAAATGTCTTTATTCATGGAATGGAATGAACTCTTTTTAACATAATCGCCCAGATATACCAGTATGTTTAATGTCTAGATGTTATTATTTCTAGCTATTGAACTTAATGACTCAGATTACTTGCATTTAAGAAGAATGTATGAAATCAGGTCCATATTTATTTTCTCTGTTGAATTATTAACGTTTCTATGTGAAACCTTTAGTGCACATGTGTATCTAGGTTTGGCAATTTGATATTATTTGTATTGGACAAAAAGGTGGAAAGAATGACACCAGTCTTTTATAATATGGGGAGAGATCGTGATGGTAATCAGCTCATTAGGGTACATTGTGCATTAATAAATGTGTGCAGATGCATGAAATGTACAAATAAAGTATAGATTTACATCTGTTGTATGTATTTAGGCTGTTTATTTCACATACTGTGTAGATAATTGTACAGTTTTTATATACTTATATCATGGAATCTTTTTTCTCACACCTCACCAAGTTTTTCAAGTTATAGCTCATTAGAGGAATAATTTGGGATATGATCTGTTTTGGAAATTGAAGACTATATATATGCAAGTGTTATTAGTGATACATGTTCTGAAAATGGTAACATCACTCTCTATGATGCCGTTTCCACTGAAAGTACTGGGTCAAACATGGATTTGATTCAGCTTTTCCATTGCTTCATTGCCTAATGACTTGCGTTTCCATTGAAATATATCTTTGTCAAACCAAATATAGCCTCAAATAGCCAGACATCTATTAATGATCACTAAAGGATTTGTTGAGTTAATTGAATCTAAAAGGTTAGCTACTGTATAGTAATACAAGATTAAAGCTGTTTATGGGCGTTTCCACTAATAATTATGAAACTAGGACCCAAACCGTTTCATTTGGCTGTTATTGTTCAGCAGTGTGACCAGTATAAATGCACTGAACCAGGTTGGAGATATCTTGATGATATCTTCTTTTTTTTTTCTAAGTGGAAATGTTTATTGCACTGGTTACAATATATAAAAAATTGGCAATTTGGGCATGAATACTCGTCTTCTCGCTCTGTTATATTTTTCATATAACCATAGAACTAAAAGATTGCAGTAATATTAGTTTTAAGATGTCCGAAATGTGTGTTACTTAGACAATAAGACTCAACTCAACTGGAATCTTATGATACAGTTTCGATAAGATGGGTGTCTCTATAAGGCTCCAAACAATATTAAAGTAATATCTAGCTGCATATCTAGATGACCCCACCCAACATCATGATTTTAGTTTATCATGGTGTACTATTGATTAAAGATAGTTACAGGCTAATGAAATTGGGCATACCCTGTTAATATGCTATGAGAGAAGTGTAAATTGGAAAATTGGGGAGAGTGGGGGGAGGGGGGAATTTGAGGGCACAGAGGTTAAATAGGTGCTAATTGATTTGGGTTAGGGTTAATATTATAAACAAAGCAACCACTGTGGCAAAAACATCCATGGCTGAAAGGTCCCTCCTACATTCTCTTAGATTATGAGCTAATATATAATCCTTTAATATCCTTTAATATCTTTTGGCATTCTTTAAAGTGGAGATAACCCATTGACAGTAAATTCTGAAAAATAATATTATTTATTCTGACAGAAGACTCTGGAAAATGTTCATGATTTATATAGGCCTATATATTAGCTCATGAAATCTTTAAACCAATTACACATAAGATACACACTTGTGTTGTGGTGGGCAGGGGCGGATTGGGCCATCGGGTGATCGCCCAAAGGGCCGGTCGGACAAAAAATGAACAAAATAATTTTGTCCAATTCGTCTAAAAAAAACACCACATTATATGGGGGTGGGGGTGAGGGTATTGGACCGGCCATGGAGCGATGATGGTCATGTTGTATGTGGCTGGTGGCTTTAACGGGCTGCCACTCCATCACTGGAGTCTGGAATGGGCTGGTATAATAGACTTTCTAGGCCTGTTGTGCTGGGTGTGGGCCATAGGAATCAACACCTACTTATTCAATGTTCCTGACTGGTTAATCAAATGGTCAAAATTTTCTCAACTAGTTCCATTTTTAAACCAGTTAAATTCTATTGACTCTTGACGATACAATGATAATATGTTAATTAATAATATGACGATATGATAATTTCACAGGTTGATGGTTGTAAATTAGTTGCAGGTCGAGGTTTTGGCCTAAATTAATCGATTTATGAGATATATTATTTGACAGAGATTATAATCAGATTTGCCACCAAATCGCATATTTGGGGTTCATTTTTCAAAAAGGCTCCGCGGTCAGTAAAAGGGGCCGTTCTGACACAGGAGCCCGGGACGTTTCCTGGCCCCAATCTGCCCCCTGGTGGTGGGTTTTACCGTTTCAATGAATGTGATGTATCATAGTGTGTGTGTGTGACTACAATATTATCAGTTGTTTAATTAAGACTTGGATGTAACATGATGAATGATATTACATCACTTTATATCATGTGACAACTATATGACAGATGAGGAAAACACGAGGATTCATTAAGGAAATTAGTTTCCTTTATTCATATCCTGTGTAGCCTTTTGATGATGATTTAACTTGAGTTGGATATTGATGCAGAGTATTGTTAAGTAATTTTTAGTTGCATATTGTTTACAATGGACATGTGTTAGAGTAATTGACATTCCGTTATCTGATGACGTGTGAATTCACTCCTGTTATTCTTCTTCAGGTACCTTGTACAAAACACCTATGCAAGTTACAACAGAAACAAGATGGAAGATGTGGTCGGAGATGAATTCCGCTCCATCAATCACCCAGAAAGAATGATGAGGAAAATGGAGGGTTATGTTGCAAAGCGTCAACTCTGCGATGTGGTCATCATAGCAGGACAGAAACGTATTCCTGCGCATAGATTAGTGCTAAGTGCTGCATCAGATTATTTTGCAGCGATGTTTACGAACGACGTCCGCGAAAAGACAATGGACGAAATAAAGATAAAAGATGTTGATCCTGAGGCGTTAACGGCTTTGATAAATTATTCGTATACAGGTAAGCGTATATCACATATTTCATTATGTATATCCTGATGTTTTGATATTTAATCAAATAACACATCGTCTCACAAAACACACAACCTATCCATTACTGATTAATGCATTATTTCAGTTTTTTTTCACGTTTTCCCCATCCTGTGTCTATTATGGCAGGTTTGTAAAAACAAGGGATATATTTACATCGGGATAAAATTCCCAAGACATATGCATTAAGGTAAACATAGATACAATTGATACTATATTTGCATAATATTAATTTGTACTAGAGTCTCTTGGGGATGTCAAGTTTCCAATAAGTGTTAGTTTTCTTATTTTGTTACACAGTATGATTTACTTTATAAATAACATTTATATTGTTCTTGTTGCTAAAAGTGGGGATCATGTATTCAAAATCAGATACATTGGCTTATTAATGAAATTCTCAGGGTGGAAGTAAAGAGCTTTCCGAATGTCCTCTGGCTGCCTGTCCTAAAGAAACCGAATGATCATATCCACAAACCTAACTCTAGAACTTCACTGAATTCGGTCTGCACAGGAAAGCAGAGATATTTAAGGAGCATACACCAACCCAGCCAACATACCAGAATAAAGGTTGAATATAGAGTTTGAGATAATACACAATCAAAATTAGTTCTATTAAAACAATTTGATGCATATTATTCTCATCAATCAAATTCAATTTATGTTCATTTAAAGTTTACATTATTTTACTTTTTATTATTTCACATCACTAGCTTGACAAATATACCGGTAGTAATAATGTAAATCTGTCCATACTAAAAAAAAAAAAGTATTTTGGTATTCAGATGTGCTTAATTACACAAATTTGTACATTAAAATTAAGCAACTTTTTACATTTGAATTTTTAGGAAACAATCTGTCTTGATTGTGCCCTTAACCAAATAAATAATTATTACTACCAAAGGGACAGAAAACTGTAATTTTTTTGTACATTTTTATTTAATCCTTTTATTTCCTCGCTATGATTCTTTAAATTATTAGAATTACACATACATGTTCCATATTATCAAAAAAAGAGGCAATTCTATATTTTGATCTAATCCTTTGATTTTAATGCTTTGATTCTTAAAAAAAGAATTTTAAAAAGCAATTTTGCATACATGTTCCATATTATCAAAAAAAAAAGAGGCATCATGCGTATATCAACACTATTATGATGCCGATAATTTGATTTTTATGGAGTGAATCATATGTTTTGACAAGACATGACATGAAGTAATGCTGTAATAGAGTGTCTTGGAGCACTACTTGTTGATGTCAACTTGGTATTATGGCATGACTCACTCGTACTTTACACAACTTAACGTCTGCCGGCATCATGTCAGTATTTTGTCAGACCTGAATGCCATCACTTCAGACGATGACCAATACAGGACCAATTGATCAGAAGTTATATTGACAGTCGTAGTAGTTGAGTCATAATATCAACATCAATTACACTTTATAGCAACCTTTTTTACGAGAGATTTTAGTCTAAGACCAAGAAAAAAATTACCTGTGTTTAAGTTTATGGTTACTTGACCCAAAAAAAGTTCTGGTTGATCGGAAAACCTTTTTTTTTTATTTTATTTTATTAAGCTCGGGGTTTGTACTTTCTTTATCCTAGCATTTAGAGCTTAATTACTGAGTTAAGGTTGTTGAAACTGATAATAAAATAGTAATCATGTCAAGTGCTTTAATAGCATCTTTATTATAATCTTGTTAATCTGTTCTCTTAAACTACTGTTTTATTTTATTAGCTAGACTTCTAATTTATCAATCAATATTCCATTCAATACGAGACCTCGAAATCAGATATCCGAGTTGGACTAAAAAAATCACTATAGCCCACTAACACAATTTTTTTTAGGAACAAAGACCTCCTTAATTAACTCTCTTATTAATTATTATGAAGTAGTACTTGAATATTTCAAATTATGTCAGTTACTCAAAGGAAATTAATTTATTCTAACAAAAATTGTTTAATTAACATGAATCGCTCATTTAATGCGCAGTTTTAATTGTTACCATAAATTATTAAAAACAGAGTGGCTATGAAGTGAAATTGATTAATATGCGGGAATTTTGGAATGAATCCATAATAGATTTAATAAAGCTGACTTTTTATTCATTCTGGTGACTTGTAATTATATTAAATAATTTGTACCTGTCTTAAGTGAGTGATTGCTTTATAGATTTAATTATAACACTTGTGAATAGGATTATAGTATTAATCTTTTCATAAGAATTAACAATAAAAAATACGGAGATTAAAATGAAACCTGTAAATTAATTTTACACTAGCCATCAATTGACTTTCGTAATTTAAGGTTAGTGATTACTGTGTAATTAAATATCTAATAGCAGGAGTGCAGACAATGATGAAATTTATCCTCGGTCGGAGATCATTTAGATCTTCAGTTTAAACATGAAATCTGACTTTAAAATAAATGTATTTGGTTACGAATATCATTATAATTTAATCTAACACAGTCCCTCTGGGTGCTGGAGTCCCATCATTGGTTAATTAGACTAGACTATATTAGTCTCAAAAGGAAATGAAATGAAATGGCATTTAATGTCCTACAGTTTTACTTCGACTGGGCTAATGATGGGCATACACCATACAGTATGCTATGAGTGAATTTTGCTCTGACAGCAGCTCTACATCCTGTTCTTATATGGAATTTCAATCTGCTAAGGATTCTTTTTTGTGCAAGCCAAAATGTACATGTACATAGGATCTCAGTTTTTCATCCCATCTGAAGGACTATACATTGTCCCTTGCACCACTGACAAGGGAAAACCATGCCGGAAAATATGTATGAACTTTCTTGGCTCGAATACGGGACCTCCAGGTTAGCGAGCCAACGTCTTACTCACTGAGCCACCATGGCTCCAGTCTCAACAGGACCTCGGTATAGTAGTTTATAATTGGATATTAAATGTATAATATGTTCTTGGTATTTGTCACATCCGCTTCAGCCTTATTACTTTTTTATTCAGAAAGCGATATTTATAAGTATATTCTTGCTTATTTTCGTATCCTACATACCGGAATGTATAATTGTAAACATGTATAGTTTAAACCAAACCTAGACTCATAAAGAATTCTCTTCTCTGAACCTGAACATTTGATACACTGGAGACAGTACTTCCAAGCACAAGTTGTTTATAAATTAAAACATTCTTTAGAAAAGTATGTTTTGTAGTCTTGTACTGTTGATCAGGGTCAATGTGTTCTTAGTAAATATTTATTTATTAATAGTCTATTTACATGTATGTTGATTAATTGATTTTATAAGGGTATATGAAACCATTAAAGAGACATAGCTTAAACTAACTTATCACAGGTTTTTCACATTTTCATATAGATATCTATATTGGTATTTCATAACAGAGGACCAGGTTTCTAATTAATAGCAAGTTATTTCTCTGTAGAGGGGGTTGGATGGTTGAATGCTTAGTACGTGTGCGCTGTATAATAAGATCTGTCATTGAGTGTGCGCTGTATAATAAGATCTGTCATTGAGTCAACCCACTCCTAAAGACCTCTACGCGCTAGTGAATTATTGAAATCTAATTGAACCATATATTAGTCCCGAAATGACCTAGTTTGTTTCGAGTGGACTTAAACTCTCTCTCTCTCTCTCTCTCTCTCTCTCTCTCTATATATATATATATATTTGTCTGTAGAATAAATAACAAGGCAAATAAAACAAATGAAGTGGTGTAGATATTATAAAAGTAGTGTGACATATTTGACATGCATGAATTCAAAGTTCATAAAGAGATCAGCAAGTCAATTCTAACTCAAATTCAAATATAACAGGATGTCTATTTGTGAAATTGTACTTTATACAGACATTGCCAAATTTTTTGTCCTTGGGTTAATGCCAAATTTTGGTCACTTTTAGACATTTTACAAGTGATTTGATGCTGGATTGTACAATAAAAATAAAATCAATACTAAGATACATATCTTTTTACCAGTAAACATGGTTTCAAAATATTACCTCTTTCAGATGTTATAGGCAAAAACTTTAATTACTATAAACTTGATACATAAAGATAAATCATTCTTAGGGAATGGGCTTGATTGAAATAAAGATGTAAAATCTATAAAAATGTTTCGACATGCTATTTAGAGGCATTGACAACTTTCTAGACCAGCTTCTGTCTCTGTGGTAAACTCTACTGTAATGTCTGACAATATCCCTTTAAAATTCGGGGGTCACGGTGGCTAAGTGGAATTCGATGTAAGAGTAGGCCATAGTGCCGCTGTCTGTTCAAAATCCCCTCATAGCACACTGTATGGTGTATGCCTGTCTTCATTAGCCCAGTTTGGAGCAGAACAGTAGGATGTTAAACCCCATATCATTTCCTTTAAAATTTATCCAACATTTAATGAAAACAGAATGAATCGAAAGATAGAAGAAACTTGATGGTATTATGTCCCTTTTTAGGAAATATTCACCTGTACATGTATGTACCTGTTTGTCTCTTTAACTCTTAACATCAGAATTAATTGAATTATTGGAAGAATTAATACCTTCTCATCCACCATACTGTAATATTTGTTTAATTTAAATAAATTTCACAAGGTACATATAAAATAAAGGTTTAGCTAATGGTTTCCATTAGAGTTGGCCACCGTTAAATCATACTAATGGGCAAAAAATTTGGGCCGTGTATTGTGTCGTAATTTATTAGTTATTTAATGGCATTGATTTCTAATTATGATTAATTAAACATAATTTTTAGCTATCTCCATGTTTGCTTTCAATTAAATTGGTATTATTTCTCGATACAATTTCCCTCGAGACATTTTTACACTTTGGGCTTTCTGTCTAATCTTGATCTGAAATGGCTATAAGCTATCACCAAGAGAAAAATGGCTGCTGGCCGTCTGATCTGACTAGAATAATAAAATTTGCTGACGTTGGATATTACCTAATCTGCCAGGTTTCGTGGCATGTCTGTTGTTAAGGGCGACATGTTAGCTTAAATATTGACACTGCCAAAAATCAATAGAGTGACACCTGATAATCTCTAATACTACCAAAAGGTCATGGATACATGTATGATATACATTTTAAGTACATTTGTATGGACTGACTGAAGTCGAATTAACAATTAAAAGGTATCAAAGGCCAATTGTAAATTATATATTACATGCATGAACATATGTATTGTATGTAGGTGTATCTATATGCAGAGCAGATTTAACCTTTTTGAAAATTTTGTTAGAATAAAAGAGTGCTCACGGAGGTCAATATCTACTTTTAATGTAGTTATTTGTGCAGAATGAGTTGATAATTATAAATCGTTTTTTTTTAATACCTATAATACGGATAACGTTGAGGCTTGTAATTTTTTATAAAAACTTTATTCTTGTGAGAGAAAAAAAAATGGGGGGGGGGGGCGGAATTTACGCAAACTGTTGATCCCTATAAGTCAGCAACTTTGTATATTATGTACATTTATTTAATACCAAAGGAGAATCTGTAATATGAGATAGAAATGCTGACAGCTAAATGAACCGGATGAGCACCGATGTGCTTATGAATGTAATAGAAAAATCATCATTTAACACAACTTGTTTGAAAAATAAATGCATGCTACAGTTACATTTGGTCATTTTATGCATTATGTGTAATTAGCATTGTAAAAATCTTGCCATGGTTTATTGGTGACAAGTGATTTTAGTATGTTGGATGAATTGTAGCACATGCTTCTAAAATCCATGTCTGATTCTTAATAGTGATAGGTGTCTTGTACAGGGTAGAGTATGTACAGGGTAGAGTATGCTTACTCTTTCTAAAAAAATACAAATTGTTTGCAGTTTTAAAATACAAACATCTGGCCAGATGTACATTAAATGCCAAAGTTATCAATTGAATATGTGACACTTACATTTAACATTGTGTGATTATGTTAAATATAAATGATATTGCTGTCTGATTTCAGGTAAAATAGAGTTGAAAGAAGAAACTGTAGAGAGTTTATTGTCGACTGCGTGCCTTATACAACTTTCTGAAGTAGTGGAGGCCTGCTGTAGTTTCCTCATGAAACAACTTCATCCGTCCAATTGTATAGGCATCCGCCAGTTTGCTGATATCCAAGGCTGTTCTAATCTCTTCAAAGTAGCTAATAATTATGTTATGGTAAGTTGATAAGAGACATACAAATGAATGACTTAGTTCACATTAGTAGCATTTAAAAATAACTTGCAAGGTGTTTTAACTATGTTTTTTTTAAAAATAAATTTAGACAAAACAGCAGGAGTATATATATAAATTAGAAAAAAATGTGCATATTTAGTGCTCTGTCAGTGGGTTTATTGGATTTGTGGTATAAGGGGAGATAAGAGAGGTATTTGGAAGAGTTATTTCCCCCAATAAAGCCTGGACAGATATGTAATATTCCTCTGTTCTGATTTAGACTGATGCTTTACTCCAGTCAACACCAAATTTGTTTTTGTTCTCAATGAATATTTGACTATAATTGTTATGAATTAAAATGGCGAATACTTTGTTTGTTTTCAGGAGAATTTTGTTGAGGTCATGAACAATCAAGAGTTCTTTATTCTACCATTTGATGAAGTGTGTAAATTATTAGCTAGTGATGATTTAAATGTACCAAATGAAGAGACCATATTTGAAGCTCTCGTTAAATGGGCTAAACATGATCTCCCTAACCGAAAAAAATACCTTCCTAAATTACTGTTTCATATCAAACTTCCATTGATGTCACCTCAGGTAATTTTTGTTGTTTATTATATATATATACAATCTGTTGACCTATACATGTTTAATTTTTTTTTGGGGGGGGGGGGGTCACTTTTGATCACAAGGTCTGGCATTGAGTCAAGTGGCGTGGTTTCGATCCCACACTTGTATGTGATAAGGAGTAGGGTGACCTATCTTACTTTGTGGGTTTTCTCCCAAGTCCTTCGGTTTACCCCCACTGCTAAACGACCCCTACGCCCAATTGATTTATTAAAATGAAAATTGTACCTTATGTTAGTCTTGAAATTACCTAGTTTGTATCCATTTGATTTTAACCTGCATATCTTAATTTTCTAATGTTTTAGAGGAGAGGCCATATTGATTTTCAGTTGCACTTGGACCTTTTTACATTATCTAGAACCACCATGTTTGGTAGCATCCATCTCCTTGCAAAGAACTGGTAGCTTTAAAATTGATTGATCATTTAATGTGTCAAATACAGCTACCTATTGTAGCTTTACACACATGCTTATACAGATCTTCTCTTAACCAATTGACTAACTAAGTCCCTTAGCCCTCTTGTAATTGAGGTATAATTAAAGCCCAAACGAGTTAAACCTCTTTGTGTCTGGTGAAAATAAAGTATTAAATTGGGTTGAACTGACTTGTTATTTCAATTAGTGATGGAAGAAGCTCTGTACAATTATATTTTTGTCTCGAAAGATCGAAAGGAAGTCGTTTGTTTACTAATTTTAGCTTTTGGCTCAAACTGTCAATTGCTCAATACAAATTCTGTTATTTCTCAATATTAGATTGATCGACAGACGTTAATATCTTTCTAAATCTTAAATTACACTTCCAAAAATAATCAGCACATCAAATCTAGTTAAATCAACACTTTCATTTTTTTACCCAAATCAGTCTCTACTATAACAGTTAATACAAAATGGCTGGTACATATTCATACATACTAGATTTTTATACTTTTTAGTAAAAATATTCTATTGATACAAAAACACACACAGGTTAACAATCTGATTCAAACAAAAATGGATTATTTTACACTGGGCATACAGATTTACATAAATTCAGATAAAAATGACTAAAAGATAATACAATAAAAGAATGAGTATAAGACCCACTAAAATCTGATGGCTGATACTAGTAATCTGACATTAATGTTACATAAAACAGACTTTATTTTAAAATGCCAATCCTACACAGCTATCTGTTTCCTGTAGTTTGAATATTATGTTATATGAAGATTTATAATCTAATTGGGATGCATGATCAAAGCTTAGTCCATCTTTATTAGCCCGAAAGGAGCAGAAAAGTAGAACGTTTAAACCCATTTCATTTCATTTCAAAACTTTTTGATGTTTGGGGGTTGGGTGGGGACATATGATCTAAATCATGAAGTGTGCAAAGTTTTCAGTCTTGCGATAAGTGTATGCGTTTTATTTGTAGATATATTCTGCTTATATATACCGGTTTTATGATTGAATATAGATAGATTCTCTTCTTCAATAAAATTCCTACGAGAATTCAAATGTGAAACTTGAAATAGATGAGTGAGGTGTAGGCACACTAATGAGCCGTTCACTTTACTTCTGTGCATCCAAGTTTGTGTCCCACTAGATATGGGTATATATTAAGGAGAGTTTAATTTGATATCAAGATCTCGAGAGAAGACAGTAATTATTCAATTAACCTATGACTGTTAGCATTGTTTAGCAATAAAGGTTTCTATTGTTGGATGCTCAGATGTCAGACTCATCCATCAGGATGTTCTATATGTATTGATTTTCTACCCCACGATGTAAGATGTATTTCTACATTTAGCCACTAGATCCATACATACCCCAATTTGTTCTATGATTATCTACCAATATTCAGAACGCTGTATCCCGTGTCAGGAACTTAACTGCCTTGCAACACTAGTGATATGATGTATAATTTCTGATAAAGAAAATTAATGAATATATACATAAAGATATCGATAATTTTTAAGATACTATTACTAAATAAAATATTAATGTATATAAACATCAAAATATCAATATTTTGAGAAACAAAATAAATGAATATGGACATAAATATATTGATATTTTTTAAAATACTAATTCTAAAAATAAAATTAATTTGCTGGAAGAAAAAACCCTATTACCTAGCATCAAAGAAAATTGACTGTTCTCAAATACCCCCCCCCCCTCCCCAATTTGCTGGAAGAAAAAAAAACCTATTACCTGTTCTCAAATCTCAAATACCCTCCCCCCCCCCCCAAAAAAAAACCCCAACGCATCAATTTTTAGAAATTAATTAAACTAAATTGAACAAATCACAGCAGTGAACTACATGTATGGGTGCACCAGTAAATTATTAAAAACAAACAAAACTAAATTAAAGACATAAAGGTGTGTATTATAATCATAAAACAAGTAAGGTAGATGAATTCAAGCTTGGAACATTAAAATTTCATGTCAAATCAGTGGGGGAACAGAGTGAACAAGGTCCCAGGGCATTCATTTCAGTCGATCTTCCAATCAAAGAGTGAAACTACAAGTTAGATTTTTTAAAATTTGAAATTATCGATTTTATCTTTGTTTTACAAGCTGCCCTACTTAATTTGAATAAAAAGTTTATTTTATCTGTTTTACATATTTAAACTGTCTAACATTTCTCAGTACTATATAGGGCTTATACATGAGTGTTGGGGGCAGACAATGGAGTAGTTGGCTCTGGGCATAACCAAACCTCTACATGCTGCCGTTGTATTAAATTGATTTTATTTTATCTCAATGGATGGGGAATATAAAAATGTAGATAAACATATGCAAAATGAAATTGAACAAAAATTATTTGTGTCTGATAATGCAGGAAGCAAGTACATGTTAAATCTATTAACTAATCAATTCACTCATTAATAATGTAAATGTTAACAACAATTGAACTGATCAGGCATGGCAAACAATGCTAACTATCAGACGACATAAAACATGCAACCGTCTGCTTAACAAAAACCTGAAGCCATTGTTAAAAATAAAGATAATGGGCGCTTGTGTCATACATTGCATAATGAAAATAATATTTTTAGCCTGTGAAGTGCAATATAAATAATGGTATTTCTAGGGTTCAGCTGTCGTTTGTTGTTCGTGTAATGATAAATGATTATTTGTTATCCACAAGCAAATTATATAGTTTATCTCTTTTTTGGACTTTGTCAAACAAATTATTTTTAATGATGACATATGTGAATATATATTCCATCAATTTAATATAAAACCTGCTTGTCTAATTTTGGAACAATATAAGTATAAATAAATATATACTGCATAAATATTTATTTATAAAATTTGCATACTAATAGAATAAATAGAGTGACATTTTGAGACTGACATAAATGTATGGATATTTTTCCCCTGTGTTTATGATTCAATTTTAACAGCTGGCATTGTGTTTGCAGGACCTCAATTTTATATCCTATCTGAAGGACTAGACACTAGATGTGCCTCACCAATCTGAAGGACTAAGACTCTAGATGTGTCTCACACACACCTTTGTGTTTGCAGGACCTCGGTTTTTCATCCCATCTGAAGGACTAGACACTAGATGCATCTCACACACCTTTTTGTATGAATCTAAACTGAGGTCCTGCATACGCAAAGATCCTACTGAAGGACTAGCCACTAGATCTATCTCACACACCTTTGTGTATGGTGGACCCTGGTTTAGATCCTAACTGAAGGACTAGCCTCTAGATCTGTTTCACACACCTTTGAATATGCAGGACCTTGGTTTAGATCCTAACTGAAGGACTAGCCTTACACACCTTTTCTACACTTGTAGTTTTGCATTACACCTGACAATGGGGAGTGTGACATTTACTTGTGAGAATATCCTCTATGTGAAATATTTGTTCTACAAAAACCTTTTAATGTATATATTTTGTGTCTTTCAAGTAAATATATTTTGTTTCATTTGTAGTTTATTGCGGACCATGTTGAAACCAATCCTCTATTTCGTGATGATAAAGAATGTCAGATTCTCATCATGGAAGCTTTAAAATATCATCTGTTACCTGAAAGACGCTCATCATTCCAAAGTCCCCGAACAAAACCTCGTAAATCCACAGTTGGTGTTCTGTATGCAGTCGGTGGTATGGACTGTACTAAAGGTATACAAACATATTTTACAAATTCTATTTTAATGTCTGAATGTCTTTTATTTCTTTTATCACTTTGATGTTTATTTACGTTATTGTTTGTTTGTTTGTTTATCTTTGATGTTTGTTACAATAAAGATCAAGGATAAGTCATGTTATTTTTCTGTTTAAAATGTCAATAAACTACAAGAATACAAGTAATGTAAGCAAAGAATGTTAAAGTCCTAATAACTCCAACGATCTACAAATGAATTGAATAGACAATGTGGATATACAATGAGGGATGGGTAGCTGAATGGTCTAAAGCTTTCACTTTAGATCATAAGGTCTGTCATCGAGTCAAGTGACGTGGTTTCAATCCCACACTTATAGGTGACAAAGCGTAGGGCTGCCTGCTTGACCTCTGGTTTCCTGAAACTGCTAAAGACCCTTATGCTCAAGCAAATTATTGAAACAAAATTGAACCATAAGTTAGTCCTGATATGTCCTAGTTTATGTTGAATGGACTTCTCTTCCTTTTGATTTTTTTGTATCATTATGAAATTAAAACTTGTAACGTTAAACAGTTATTGGTCTTTTCAGCAGTGTGTAGTAGAAAATACAAACAAATCTATACGTAAACCTTTTAGATTTGTATATTTTTAAAGATTCCGAAAATATATCTGTTAATTATTGATTTTTGATTTGTGTAATGATTAGAATTATACCAATCTCCATTAGAATCGATGAAATATTTAGATGAACAAAATACTACTGGGACTTTAAGTAAGATAATTCTATATTGATAAGTATTTGCCAGGATTTTTATTTCTTTTACGGATAGCTATTAGATTTCGTGAAAACTCAGATCAGATTATTTCAATTTTTTGAATTGATGGGTGTTTATCATGTGTGTAAATAGATTTCATCTTTTAGAAGTGTAGAGAAAAAATGAAATTAATCGTTTAATATTTTTGTCTTTTTGTCAGGAGCAACAAGTATAGAGAAATATGAATTACGTACGAATACATGGACGCAGGTAGCTAACATGAATGGTAGAAGATTACAGTTTGGGGTAGCTGTTTTAGATGAAAAATTATATGTGGTTGGTGGTCGCGATGGTCTCAAAACATTAAATACTGTGGAGTGTTATGACCCAAAGAAAAAAACATGGACATTGATGCCTCCAATGTCAACACACAGACATGGCTTAGGTTAGTAAATACATACTATAAAATGATCATCATGTAAATTTGTTTACTATTAGTAAAATTTGTACGGTCTGTATCACTACAAGCCCGGGACTGTACAGCGCAGCGGACACTTACGGCTAGCCCCCCAGATCCATTCACTTAATCTGACATGTACGTTTGTTTGTGATTTCCGGTTATTGGATCTTGTCCATAGAATTGTTTTGTGTAATATTAGGTTGAGGTCCATTGGTCGATTTGGACTGCATAACATAGGCCTACTAGCTGTCCCCCCAACTTTCAGGCAAGCTGATTTTTCGGGCAGACGGGTAAAGTGGAAAAAAAATTATTTCATCTACTTGGCAAAATAAAGTGCCTGAAATCCAATAAAACACTAATTTTGCGGGCTGGAATAGCAGTAAAACCCGTCTGCGGTCGTCAAATATTCCCAAATTTTCTTGGGGGGGGGGGGGGTCCATACAAGGTCAGCTCCGCTTCTTCGTCTCTTAAAGAAAACCGGCGCCACTGTCTGTAACCTGAAATTTTTTCGGCATTTCTAGTTTTGTTTCCCTAACTGTCATCGAGCCCTAATAAAACACTAATTTTACTTCTCTTTTAATTGAATACCATGAATTTGTACTGAGTTGACTATGGATTAAAACATTTTGCCTGGAGCCACTCTACTTTGTGCGACATTTTTCGGGCATCGATTATTTTTTTTTGTGAATGCAGCTGCAACAGTCTGATTGGATGATTGGAATTTAGAATGGGATTTCGGTTACAAACCATTGGATACTCTTGGAGTTGCTTACATGTGCTAGAATAGCAGAAAACGCATTTGTGGTGGTTAAATTTTCAAAATTTTCTCCGAGAGGGTGAGGCCCCCATGCCCTGCGATTGATTGGTTGTTTGGAATTCGGGTCAGCCAGGTAGGCTATATTGGACCAAATTGAAGTTGCTGTATTAACAGGCTAGAATAGCAGGAAAACGCGTTTGCGGCAGCTAAGTTTTCAAAATTTTCTCCAAACGGTCCCGTATCCGTGGACTGTAAACGATTGATTGGAATTCTAGTCAAACACCTTAATTGGGCTATATTAGACCACTTTGAAGTTGCTTTGTTCAGGGGCTGAAATAGCAGGAAAACATGTTTGCAGCTGTCAAATATTCCAAAATTTTCTGTGGGGGGGTGGGGGGTGTCAGGTCCATACAAGGTAAGCTCCGCTTCTTCGCCTCTCGAGGAAAACCGACGCCACTGTGAACTATTTAGTATTTTGGGTCGACCTTGATGACACCCAGTCTATTCTGAAACCTGCGTAATACATAAAGTGAGAACTTACTGTAATGCAGATTTTAAATAATTCATGGGCAAGCAACCAGTGTGGAATCTAACAGCATAATGGCAGTATCAGTCTAAAGGCTATCAATGTAACATAAATAAAACCTGATTGACATCTGATTGTGCCAGTAGTGAATTCCTTATATGTAAGGTCTATCTAAAATATAGGCATTATCTGAGGACGCCAACATCAGTGTCATAGGTTGCATGTTCAATACTGGCTGAGTGCCGTTGATTCCTTTACATATATCCTCCAATAAGACAATCTATCAAGGTACCAGTATTCTTTGTCTTTCCCACCACAACTGAGTACGGGTAGAATAGTGTAAAATAGAATTAATTTATTTCAAAAGATATGTAATAAAAGTAGGACTGATTGTTTTTTGTCAAAAGACCTACGTAAGACCCTGGGCTAATGAAGACGGGTATATGCCACACAGTGTGCTATGACTAGGAGGGAAATTTTGCCTGGACAGCGGTGCTGTGGCCTACTCTTATATTGAATTCCAACTGCCAAGGGTTCTTTTATGTGCATGCCAATGTGTACATGGGACCTCAGTTTCTCTTCCCATCCAAACGACTATATATTCTCCCTTGATTGGCCCTTAGTCCTGTACCAATGACAAGGGGGAACCGTGCCAGAAAATTCTGATGAACTTTCTCTGCCCACACAGGGATCAAACACCGTGCCCCCTACCACGTAGTGAAATGTGTGGTATTCTACACAGCAAAATGACTAACATTGGTTAACATTACATTTCTTAGGTTTGTACCCATTGTTTTGTAGGTGTTGGTGTTTTAGAGGGACCAATGTATGCTGTAGGCGGACATGATGGTTGGTCATATTTAAGTACAGTAGAAAGATGGGATCCTCAAGCTAAACAATGGAGTTATGTAGCTCCTATGTCTACTATGAGAAGTACAGTGGGTGTAGCTGCTCTTCATGGAAAGTAAGTATAAAAACCACCACCATGCAGGATAATTAGCTCTACAAAGTTTTTGCTGTGCCAAATTATCAAATCACTTTATTTGATTTGAATTCTGGTCAGGCCTTGGGAATTTCTTGAAGTTTCGTTTTCTAACTTATCCTGTCATATGTGGGCCATTGTGTTCAGAACTGGATCTTACTCTATCACAAAGATTTCTAGAATGTAATTAGTATAAGTTATGTATATGAAAATTCACTTTTGAACCAGCTAGAACAGATTATATTATGTGGGTGAGATAAAATATTGGCCCATGCAAAAAATGATCATGCTCAGTGTGGTGAATATTGGCCCATATTAGATCATGTGTCGGTGTGATAAGAGATTGACACATACCAGCATAGATCATGATTGCTGTTGTATTGTCTTCCAGAGTGTTGTATTGTCTTCCAGAGTGTTGTATTTTGTTTCATAGTGTTGTATTGTCTTCCAGAGTGCTGTATTGTCTTCCAGAGTGCTGTAGTTTCTTTCATAGTGTTGTATTGTCTTCCAGAGTGTTGTATTATATGGAATATCCATTCATAGATGATTGTTAATATTTCAGATTATATGCTGTTGGTGGTCGAGATGGTAGTTCCTGTTTAAAAACTGTAGAATGTTTCGATCCTCATACCAATAAATGGACCAATTGTACACCAATGTCTAAACGTCGAGGAGGTGTGGGTGTGGCTAATTGTAACGGGTTTTTATATGCTGTAGGAGGTCATGAAGCACCTGCTACTAATCCTACATGTAGTAGATTTGATTGTGCTGAAAGGTTGGTACTGGGTATTTATTAAATTACAAATCTATTATGTCATGTCATATTTAATTTAGATTTATCAAAAGCATGTCAATCTTTGACTTTTTATGTTTTTTTTTTTTTAAATGGTTCATTATCTCTTTGATTTAATCATTAAATGCTAAATGCTATATGAGTCTTATATTGAAGGCATTCAAATTCTCATGAAGGAAGACTTGATGGGCGATTAAGGCCCCTGAGCCTCTTGTTAACAATTTGTGCTGGACTACAGAGAAATGATCTCTCAAGGCTATTCCATCAAAAATTTACAATGTATTTATGTAGTAGTGAAGGGGATTTTAAAAAATTGGTACAGGCAAACTTGAAAAATGCTCTGCACGCTTACACGCAAATATGAAATATATGTTTTAACAATTTCTTAAATGCGATATAGGCCATGTCAGATGTTTTCTTATCAACAACAAAATAATTAAATTAGATATCGGTAATAATCTCACGTGGATTAAATGATTCACAACTCTCAACTCAACATTAGTACAAAGCAAATGTTCACTTACATAGCTAGGGTGGTGGTTTATTTATGGTGAATAAATTTATCCATGTTGATTAAAACACCACTCTATTCAACTTGAAAACTATTTTATACTACTCTTGTACTATTCTTGGTCGCCTTTCCAACCTCGTAGATTTTCACCGGGTCCTCTGGTTTCATCCCACTACTAAAGACGCCTACACGCAAGTGAATTAGTGGAATAAAATTGAATCTTATGTTAGACCCGAAATGACCTAGTTTGTGTTGAGTGGATGTTAAACTCTCTCTCTCTGTCTCTCTCTATACTACTCTTGGTGCCTGCATTATTGTTTGATCCAGAAGCTACACAGATCTACCGGCCTGTTCAGTCTCTGCTACTCTTTTAAAGGAAGAGTTCCCGTTCCCTCTCCCCATTACTCGACTTATGTAGGTGGGGTATGTAACAAATGGTGGGGTCTGAATGGTGTAGATTGGGTTATAACATTTGTGCAATGATTTGACATTAACTTTATTTGTAGATATGATCCTAAAACCGATCAGTGGACAATGATATCACCAATAGGTTGTCCACGGGATGCTGTAGGATTATCACCATTGGGTGACAAGATATTTGCTGTTGGGGGTTATGATGGTCAGCAATATTTAAATGATGTTGAATGTTATGATCCTATTAACAATGAATGGACGAAGGTTAGTGTGAAATTCATGTGTATTTTATCATTAGAATATTAAATCAGGGTGAATAATCGATGTAAGTTATGGTGGTCTAATGTTTTGAAATGATACACTGAAGGTTGTTGTCATTATGGATCTCCCATCAGTCCCTTTTGGATTGATAGTTATGCGCCAAGTTTCAGGGTTAGGGATAGATTCATCAAGTAAGTCTCTATGTCCCTGGACCACAGATGATTACATGCAATGTCTGCCATTTTATATAGATTACATGCAATGTCTGCCATTTTATATATTGTAATTCCTTACATCTCTCTCTTGTCTAAAAAATGAGTTCAGTAGTTTTTTCTTTAGTGTGACATTATAGCTTGTTATGTTCCTGTTTGTGTTTTGTTGCAAAAATATCCTACTGCAGAGCATTAGTTTGTACTAACCACCAGAACTATTATTTCCTTTAGAACATTCTTTAAAGGCACAACAAGTCAGATTGCACACATATCAAAATGTAAAAAATATGTAATATTTTGATGTAAAGAGTGTCCTTTTTGTGTAATTAAGTACATCCAAGTATCAAAAATCTTCCAATGAGGACTGGGATGGCTTGTACAAAGAAAGATAGAATTATTATTACTTTTTTTTATGTTAGATACATAAAGATTGCCATGTGAAATCCACATAAACCAAATTAATTGATTTGAATACTTTTTCGATCAAAATTTTTTGTGTATGATCTGAAACACTGTATTTAACCCTTATTCAAGCATGTTGGGTCTTTAATTGCAAAAATAAGAAGAAAACAATAAAGCCATAATTAACATTGAGTGTCACACAAAAAACGTTACATAGTTTACATGTGTCTATAGATCTATATTTTTTTGTTGTGTTGATTTACACTGTGACTATAATTAGTGTTTATTTATTTTATAGGTGTCGTCATTATGTACAGGGCGGGCAGGTGCTTGTGTCGTTCACGTTCAAACAAGTTGACTATCCCTCAAACGTTCACTAGCTCTTCTTAAAAAATGGCCGTCTGGTCTTTTACACCTGAAAAAAGTCAAATCTCAAATATCATCATGGCTGTGATTGCTGTTAACACAGCTCATCTACATCATATCATTAGCAGCCATTTTGTAATATGTCCGCTACCACGGCCATATTACATACTTAATCATAAATTATATTGGTAATTTTGACGGCCATTTTAAAAGACTAGTTAGTGTTCGTTTGGATACAGATAGTACAGACCAAAGTGTAGTTAAGACAGTACAGAGGCAGTGATTAAAGAAACGAATATCGTAAGAAAATATTTTGAAAGAGAAATTTATATAGTTTTGAAATAAATGTATATTGTATATGAAAGAGACTGGGGCCACACTTGTATCTGACCATCAATGTTGGGTCCCAAAAAAGTCCCATTGTTATTTTGTTTGTAAAATCTGCCATGTAACTTCGGGAAATCAAGTGCTGCCCTGGGAAGTGATATTACATACGTGTATACAGAGAAAGACATATTTTGTATGGAAATATTTTATTATATTCCAAAGAAATACATGTATGAAAAGAAAAAGTTATATATAGTTTTTGAAAATGTTTGTAATTGAATTGTTTACATCACACAGTATATTTAGATGAAAGTTTCTCAAAGTTAAAAGATTAGAATTCTATTATATTTCTAGAATACTTCATCTTTTAGTTACACTCTACATTCTACAGTGATATGGTTTATTAAAGATGCATTATGTAAGATTTAAACCTGGTTGTTCTTGTTATAATAGTTTCAGTAAATTACTTTATTCTGAGCAAAGTTATGAATGTTTGAAGTTTTGACAAAAAATAAAATAAATAATCTTGATTGTCAATTACCATTGCCACTATAATAAACACAAGTTTTGATTTCAGTCCTTCTATCGGCAGTCTCTGTTGAGTGAGTAACATCTATATAAGTCTAACAAAAGATATGGCAGATATTGTCTAATCCACTCAATATATTAGCCATTCGATGGTCTAGAGGGTAGTTCTATCATGTGAATAAATGTCTATATGATAATTTATATAACATTTGAAGCAATACACAGATTTAGCTCTTACATAATGCATCATTATATTCATTGACTGTAGCGTTAAATGTAAATGCTGTTTGCTATATTTAATATTGTCAGTACATACAGGTATTGGGTATTAAAAGTATTGACTGTTAGTCACTGTTTTTACTTAGGGTGAAGCCTGTAAATTATGAGTGCTGTATTAGAACTGTGATTTTACTTCATTTTTGTGCCTTATAAAGTAAATAGAAAACTTGTGTATAATAGGTTTTTATTTTGAAACTTTAAAAAAATTGGATTAAGCTTTCTTTTCATTGAAAAATACTGGTATGCAAATATAAGATATATAAATTATTTATAGAATATAATTATCTTATATTATTTGTACGTACATGTAGATCTGATTGTAAATATTATACAACGCCCTATTTTAAAACAAATGTTTCCCATATCCGACCTAATAAAGTGTGCCCTATATTACATCATTTCAAATTTAGTCATATCATGTTAATTATAACAGGGACCTTATTATATTAAAGTCCATGATTATAGTACCAACCACTTCATTTCACTTGCCTCATTTTCTATTATCTCATGCACTTTTTGATATCCGGTTAGCAATGAAGCTATTAGTTACTGGAAAAACTTAATTAACATGCTGTTGTAGGCTAACGTTTTTTTATAGGCTGTGTTCAGTAATGCACAGAACTGATTGTTCTACTCAACTTATTGATTGAATACCATATTGCAGAAAATTCACAGAAATTTTTTGAAAGGCTTTGATTGTTCAGACATTTGCTTAGCTATCTAATCACGGTCAAAGGTACCATTAAGGTGTGCTTTTCCTAAACATGTCTTTAGATGGTAATGATGTAAGTGACACCTGTTTTATATTAGGTTGTCTGTGATAGACAGTAAAAAAGTTCAAAACAGACCAAAATGTGAATCAGTGTTTTAATTCTTGTTCTAAATTTTAGAGTTGTATTTAATCGTCTGCTGGAAGTGGACTGGTCATCACAGAGTATGAGGCATGGCAAATGTAGCCATATTCGTAATATATCATATCATAAAATATGTTATTGTTTAAAACCATGACATATCATTGTATAAATATATCATTATATTATAGGAATTCTAGTCCCATATAGTCTTCTAGTGAAGCCTAATTACCTAGACCTGCCTTCTTAAAGCTGTATTCCTTTAGCTAGAAGAACTTTATTGCGTGTCTCACATAAATCAGGGCATTATAGAATATAGTCACAAACTAGACATTTTTATTATTTTAAAACTTTATTATGGGTTTTGATATGGACAATTTTAGCTTTGGTAAACTTGATCTGAAGATACGACATAATTACAGTAACTTATAGTGTAGTTCAAAATGCTAGAAAAAAGTAAAATTTTGAATCTTAAATTCATTGAAATTGTATGTGAAATACTCATACTGAAATCAAACCAAAACTCAATCATAGCTTGGACTTTTCAAACTTCAATCCAGAAAGTATGTGCAATATGGGAAAATTTGAATTGAAGAACCGAAAAAACTACACTGTAAAATAATTCCAGTTTTTGTGTACGTTGAATTATTTCCAGTTCAAAATTTAAGACCGAACAGAAATGATTGAATATTCAAAGAGATAAATTTGTAGATTTTATCCTGAATTTTTTTTTTCTGGTAATATGAACTAGACTATAGATAAACTGATACATATTGTCACCAATAGGTACTGTAGTTCAGAACTAGTCTTTTAACTCAGTGGTTTTAAGACTTTTTGGTTCCTAATAGGCTTTGAGATTAGAGTAATATTGAATTTTTTGTCCCCAAAACTATTGTTTAACTAATCACTTCATGGTTTTCACTTGTAAGAACATACATTTTGTACCCATCACACAATCCTCTGAACACAGACGTCTCTTATGTTTCGTAACAGTCATCCATGTTGAATTTTTAATCCTGAGCACCGCAAAAATCAAAGCATTTTCGCCCATTACTTTGCATTACATTTTGGAATTTCTTCCAATAATTTCAGCATTCCAAACTGTGACCTCGGTGATTATACAGGGACAGTGTCATCTTGTTTTTTTAAAAGAGTCTGTGTGTGTGCTTCTCTTGTTCAAATAAGTTTTGAATGTGTGTTTTTTTTATCACCACAAATCATACTTCCTAATATTTGTTTCAAATATACATGTTTTATTTTCCAAGTTTAAGCCCCATTCAAGACACTATATCTCTTTGGATTTAGGCCCAAATGAAATACTGAATTGGGTTGATCTGATGCCATTAAATTTTTGTTTCGAAAAAATTTTATTTTCATTTTTGGCTGTGTCGATAGTGGAACACAAAATCAATTATATTTCAACAATGGCTTTGTAGGTGTAACATTTTAAGTGAAGACACGTTGTCGTCAAAAAAAACATATCAACAATTTTATTTTTTACAAAAATCAAAGAGGTCTAAGTAATCTTTTGAGTTTGTATTAACAAGTAAACTGGATAATCTATCCTGATTTCTATATATAAGTCAGAGGAAAGGGTTAATGTAGGATTCTTAATATTAGCTGAAAAGATAACTTGAGAGTTTATTTGATATGTTTCAATGTGTTATGCATGTAGATTTAAATATTTTCCATAAGTGAAAATTTTAAAATTGATATATCTCATTCATTACAGCATATCTATTATATATGACCGGATATAGGCAAGAAATGTTGAAATAGTTATAATTATTTTTATTTTATTGTTAAGAGTTTTGTGCCATCTGCTGTATCGCTTTTTCAAATTTTGGCATTTTTGTTCAAATTTATTTTGCATTTCTGTCTGTGCTTGCAAGATGAAATTTCTTGTTTGTCTTAGAGGTTTAATAAGGTGTTAATGAAGATATTACTCAAAGTTTAATGTCCAGAATATGTTTTACATTTAAGAGAATAATTTATTCACTTAATTTGTGTAATATAAATGTAAATTATTTTGTTTTTAAAGTATTGTAGATTCAATACATTATAATTATAGAATGATAATTGTAATTAACATTTTTCATTTTAATTTTTCAAGTTATTATTTATTGTTCTATTTATGCAGTATTGGTGTAATAGCTGATTTTGAGAAATCACAGTTTCCTTTATTATTAGGTTTGACGCTTAATATGCTAAATATAAAGAATTGTTTATTTATAAATGGTTAGTATGATTTTCTTAAAATTATCGAAATATTGTTTTATTCTTCATAGATCAAGTGTAAATTATTACTGTAATACAGTAAAATATTAAATAGGATTATTTATAATTCTAATCAACTGATTAATGATAATATGGAAAACTGGTTAAGTGTAAACAATAAAAAGATTAATGTATAATCATAAAGTGCCATATAATCAATAATGATCAGATGGTTAAAAGTAACAAAATAAGATAAACAGATTACGTATACTGATTAAGTATATCATTAAACTGGTTAAATAAGTATATCATTAAACTGGTTAAATAAGTATATATACTGATTAAGTATATCATTGAACTGGTTAAATAAGTATATCATTAAACTGGTTAAATAAGTATATCATTAAACTGGTTAAATAAGTACATGTATATCTTATCATTAAACTGGTTAAATAAGTATATCATATCATTAAACTGGTTAAGTATAAAGTATGGTTATAGAAAATTCATTCAGTAACTTACTTCATATTGTTTAAAGTAATTTATTATTTTTTTGAAACCATTGTTTGTGGTTAGGAAGAAATGTGTTCTGTAAGCTATACATATTTAATGTCATGTGTGTGTGAAGTGTGAAAATTATTACCTTTATTTTGTTATGTTGGTTCAAATTTGGAGGGGGTGGGGATGAAAGTAAGTAAAAATTTGAATCTTGCTGTGCAAGTTATTTAAGTATAATTAATTGTAATAATCACCACTGTATATAGAAATGGAAATGCTCAAAGATCATCTTATTTTTATACCAAATACAACTTCTCTTTAAGACTTCCATATTTTCCTACCAATTAATACGCCATGTACCAAATGTTGTATGCATTTTCTAATGGCCTTATCATATAAACATTGGTGCTATAATACTCTTCTTTAAATCAGTGCTGCATTCAATAGAATACATATTATTAACCACAAAACAACAGTTTACGGTCAAATTTTTCGATTAAAATAGAAAATCTATATAATATTAAAGCAAATTTTTAGTAAATTGAAATTAGGAATTGATTTTTACATATAAATTCTATTGAATGGTCAGGCTATGGATGTGTTTGAATGGATGTAGTATTATTATGTTAGATGTTTTTCTCCCTTCCAATAAATAAATACCTTTATTGTCATTCAATATTTTATTCACATCTTTATTATTTTCATGATCTTGTTTTCAAGTCCATTAATTTATTGACTTTTTAAACATTTTGCTGTTTCTGCTTGGTTTCATATTGATTTTGTACATATCATGTTTTGCATGTCCAATTTTTTATTTTATTTCTTAAATAAACAATATTCATAAAACAATTGAGAAGCCTTTTTTTTGTTATTTGTGCACTGGTTGGTCGTTCGTTCTATCTAATGGGTCCATGTTGACATGAGCAGACGGCAAAAGAATTCAACAAATAAATCCATATTAGGCAACGTGTAAAGTAAACAATGATTCTCCCTGTTTCAATATTGACTTAATGCATATCTAATTCAGTCCAATTGTAATACCAGTTGTTTTATCACATACATCTTCACCGGGAACGATATTCAATTATAGTTGTAATTAATAATGTAAGATACATGTGGTATGCTCTATTTGTGAAAACCTTTATATGGGTGATGTTTGATATTTACTTCATACAAAAGAAGGCAAATATAAAATATCCTTAGTTAAGGTTAACAAACATAAGAGCTGGGAGATGTTTTTAATAATGAAATGAAATGGTGTTTAACATCCTACTGTTCTGCTCCGAACTGGGCTAATGAAGTTGGGCATATGCCATACAGTGTGCTATGAGGGAAATTTTGCCTGGACAACGGCGCTACAGCCTACTCTTATACCGACTTCTAACTGCCAAGGGATCTTTTACATGCACGCCAATGTGTACATGGGACCTCAGTTTTTCCGTCCCCATCCGAAAGACTGGACAGCTGTCCTTGTCAGGCCCTCTGTCCTGCATCACTGACAAGGGGGAACCATGCCGGAAAATCAGGATGAACTTTCTCGGCCAATGCAGGAATCGAACACCCGACCTCTAGGCTAGCGAGCCAGTGCTTTACCCACTTAGCCACCGTGACCCCGATGTTTTTAAAGATACATGTATTTATCGGGTAGTTATTTCCAAAAAAGTATGGCAATTTTGATATACACCCAATCTTACAAGAAAACCAAAAACATTCCAGAATGCCCAAATTCTCCTAATCAATAGGCAAAAAAACCCCACAATTCAGTTTTATGTATTGTTTTATTTTTTGACAAACAATGTGGATGTTCAAAAACTATTTTTTAACAAAAATAATAAATATTTGGCATACAAATTTATCACCCCAGTAATAATTTATATATCTAGCTGAACAGACTTTTCATATTATATCACAGCAACTCCAGATATATTTACAAATATATAAACAAATTAAATATTCTCTTAAAAGATAATTAAATTAATTAAAGATCAATTTTCAAATATATATATCTAGATTTATATTTTGGCATACAAATTGATCAATTTAGTATTAACTTATATACATGTATACATATAAAGATGGACAGAATTTTCAAGTTATATCACAGCAACTCAAGATATATTTACATATGTATATATTAAATATCAATGCTCTTAAAAGTGAATAAAGTTATCAAAGATCAATTTTCAAATACATGTCTGGATTAATATATGGCTGGAATGTTGACAGGTCAATTTAGAATCTTTTATTATAAACAATATGCAGAATATCTTTTAAAGAGTCCAAAATTTATAATCTGTAACCACAGGCAAACTACAGTAGTAATCCTTTAAGGAGTCTAAAATTTATAATCTGTAATCACAAGCAAGTTGCAGTAGTAAACCTTGGCAGTGTCCAGAATCTAAAATTTAGAAACTGTTACCACAAGCAAGTTACAGTAGTAAACCTTTAAAAGTGTCCAAAAACTAGAATCTGTAATCATGAGCAAGCTACAGCAGTAAACCTCTTAAAGAGTCTAAAATTTAGAAACTGTTACCACATGCTACAGTAACAAACCTCTTAAAGAGTCACATATTTGGGATGCATTTTGCAGTTAATCTGCAGTCATTTGTACATGTTTAGCAAATATTAAATTTTTGTTTGGGTATTTTGTTAATCTTGACAGTTACAACCTAAAACACTTCAATGACTTAATGCTGATATAAAATATACATTGATCACAAATTTGGGAATTTATTTGTCCCCTATTGAACTCGTTTTGGTCGTCCCTGTATTTCTATGGCATGTTTATAATCGGCTACAGCTTCTTGTCTCCTTCCTAACTTTCCTCTAACATCTGCTCGTCTCTTTAATGTTAAAGCATCATCTGGTACCAATTCTAAAGCTATAATATAAATAATTATATCCTATTAAATACATATTCAACTTTTCTTTATATCATATTAAATACATGTTCAACATTTCTTTATATCATGAAATACATATTCAACTTTTAACTTTTCTTTGATAGAAATATCAACTAAATGTTTAATATATTACAACTACTATTACTGATGAAAAATTTATTTATAGGACTACATGGTGTTTTTTCTTTTCATTTGTTTGGGGCAATCTTTGACTGAAGCGAATTCAGGAAAATCTAAATTTTTATATTTTTATTCATTCTGAAATTAGTCTCCATGTGAATTTTTTTTTATAGGCAAATCTCAAATCCCATCCCTAAATCTGCACTATGTATATGAATATAAAGTAAAAGGGGGTTCAACGTCCTATTTTTCTGTTCCAATTGGGCTAATGAAGATGGGCATATGCATACAGTGTGCTATGAGGGAAATTTTGCCTGGCACTACAGCCTACTACTCTTATTTTGAATTCCAACTGTCAAGGGATCTTTTTCATGCATGCCAATGTGTACACAGGACCTGGGTTTTTCATCCCATCCAAACAACAAAACCTTGTCCCTTGCTAGGCCCTCTGTTTTGCACCCTTGACAAAGGGGAACCACAACGGAAAATCCTAATGAACTTTCTCTGTCCACACCGGGAATAAACACAGTGGCTCCTCCGCCTTATGTCTACGAATAAAGCTACAAGAATAGTGATGATTGTAAATAAAGGATTCCAAGTCCTGATACTGACCAATCAAAAGTTTCATTAATAAGAACAGATTGATACAACCATTTTAATGGTTCTCTATGAGTTTTTGTGGCATTTAAATTTACCGACTGTTTGAAAGTACACAACTATTCTCACTTACCTTTTGTGTAATCTTTTTCAGCTTTATCATACTGTTGTAGAGAACTGTAGAGATTACCACGATTAAAATACATGTGGGCTGAGTGGGGACTTAGTTTAATAGCTGCCTTAAAATCAATTAAAGCTCCCTGAGCATCTCGTAATAACACCTAGAAAAATATATCAAATATAAAAATGTGAAATAAGGTACATAAGTACAGCAAATATTTGTTAATTAGAGTTTCTAGAAATACGAACAGATGGGTACTGACTGGAGTCAGAAATTTAACCTATTGATTAACATAAATTTACTATCTTAATTGTGATAATATAAATTTATTTTATCGATTATTTTAACATAAAATTCAGATTTTGATTATGATAATGTAAATTTAATATTTCAATTATACTAATGTAAAATCAAACAAACCTTAGTTATAGCTCTATTAAGAAAAGCAGATTCATCTTTCTTGTTGAACTCAATAGCTTTATCATAGTTACATAATGCCTGAAATACATAACAAATCTTAATTTGAAAATGGGCGGGTTACAGAATTAGGATTAATGTTTCGTCAACACTGTAGATCATTTTAAGGAAGACAATGACACTTTTCTAGTGTCTTTAAAACATTGTTTGTTAATTAATTTATAATGGCAAGCCATAATTGTGGAAACAGATTTCTCTAATAGTAAGTACAGCAGGACCATATTTTAAAGTTTAATTAAAATTAGATTACAATAGTATTTTTCTGATTTTTACACTACATTGAAATCTTACCTACTTTCATACATTGCTGAGTTCAACTTCCTATTCCATTGAGAGTGCTATTTATATCAGCCAATCAAGCACATATTTCATTTCAATCTCAAAACCAATCAAACTCACTCTTAGATACATTTTATGCCATAATTCCCACACATCCCAAGAAACACTACCTCATACAAACAATATGATTGTGCAATATCAAAATCATAAGATGACATCCATGTTAATAGTGGTATATTACCTGTTTGAAGTGTCGGGTATGAAAGTTTATATTTCCCATATTAAAGTAAGCCAGTGAATAAGTGCCATCTAATTTTACAGCTTGCTGATAATCTTTCATAGCATTGATAGAATCATTCATAAACTGAAATAATAATAAACAATTATCTAAAACCAATAAATACATCATATCAATATTGGTCAAAAAGATAGAAATGGAGTTTAACGTCCTCTCGACACAAACTATATCATTTTGGGATAACAAATAGTTCAATTTTATTTCAATAATTTGCTTGCGTGTAGGTGTCTTGAGCAGTGGGAGGAAAACGGAGGACCTGGTGAAAACAAGGTTGGACAGGCAACCCTACTCCTAGTCACATACTTGACTCACCGACAGACCTTATTATCTAAAGCAAATGCTTTAAACCATTCGGCCAAGACGGCCATCCACCCCCCACGCCCCATTTGTTCAAATGTCAAGTCATATTGAAGACGAAACAAGTCAAATAGTCAACATCAGCCCAATTTCAATGTAAAGACAGTTGCTGTTTTGTAATTAGACATATAGCACAATTATTATTATATTTATCTAAGAGAGATAAAGATGTAGGTGATAAATCAATGTAAACTTTAAAAAGAAACAGAATTTCTGAATAAAATGAAAATTAAAACCTGAACATGAATATCAAATAGATAATTACCTGATTAATAACACCTCTATTAGTTAATAATTCAGCCGTAGGTGCTACTTTAATGGAGGCTGTAATATCTTGTGAAGCAGCGAACGTACTACTCATCTGTAAATTGATTATAGCTCTACCTTCTAATGCTGGTTTAAATGCTGAAAAATAACACAAAACAACATTATTATCATTGCAAATATTTATCATTCTTGTGAAATTTGAAGGATGATTTTATTCAGACTTTTAAAGGCACACAGAGGCTTATTCAGGGAGAGAGAAAGAGAGAGAAATGGGGTTTAAAATCCACTTGACACAAACTTTGTCATTTTGGGACTAACATATGGTTCAATATTATTTCAATAATTCACTTGCATGTAGGGTTCTTTAGCTGTGGGATGAAAACAGAGGACCCAGTGTAGGACAGGCAAGCCCACTCCTTGTCACACACAAACGGGGAAACCACGCCACTTGACTCAATGACAGAGGACCCAGTGTAGGACAGGCAAGCCCACTCCTTGTCACACACAAACGGGGAAACCATGCCACTTGACTCAATGACAGAGGGAGAGAGAGAGAAATGGGGTTTAACATCCACTCGACATAAACTAAGTCATTTCGGGACTAACACATGGTTCAATTTTATTTCAATAATTCGCTTGCGCGTAGGGGTCTTTAGCTGTGGGAGGAAACCGGAGGACCGGCAGAAAACCCACGAGGTTGGACAGGCGACCCTACTCCTGGTCACGTACAACCGGGGAATCAAAACCCCGCCAGTTGACTCAATGACAGACCGTATGATACAGCGCGCGCGTGCTAACCATTCGGCCATCCAATCCCCCGACTCAATGACAGACCTTATGATCTAATAGGCACATGTTAAAACAATCGGCCACCTAACAATCCTGAGGCTTATTCAAATGGATGCATACAATACATAGACTGTAGTTTTCAGAAAAGATAGTGTGAGTTAAGGTCGTAGAATATCCGGGCACCTCAAAGGTACATTGTACCTGGTACAACTGATGTAAGATGGTGGTTACATCAAGCAATCGAGAAGTGATGTGTATCTTTGAGATCCCCAGATTGAAAGGGAAATAACTGTCATGGCCATATTTTCTGAAAACATCAAGTTAACTAATATTTATTCTTCCTCTACTCATGATCATATTGCAATGAAGACAACATGGACCACTAAATAACTGTCATTCAGATGGGTCAAAACATTCAAAGCTCTGTGTACATGTAGACATGCACATAAAAAAAACCTTGACAATAGGAATTCAATTTCCCCCTCATAGCGCACTACGTACATGGTTAGATTTAAATATTTAGGCCATCTGCAGATTTCGCCAAGATCACGTGATGGAAACAGGGCTAACCCTAAGTTAAGACCTAGCCCTAACCCTTACCGTAACCCATAATCCTTGGCAACAATCACATCACATGCCCCATGCCCTAACCCTGTTTACATTTCGTGACACTGACGAAATCTGCAGGTAGCCTTAATATTTAGATCTTACCCATCTTCATTAGCCCAGTTGGTATAGAAAAGTAGGATATTAAACCCCATTTCATTCATTTCCTCTTAATAAATACACAGTGAAATGTCTTTATTTTGACTTACAAGGTTTAACATCTATAGCTGCTGTAAACTGTCTCCATGCCTGCATTAAATGACCTTCAACTTGTAATGTATAAGCCAGGTTAACACGAGCAGGCAGACACATTGGATCTAATTTTAGAGCTCTTTGATAATCACGTCTGCAAAAAAAATACATATAAATATATTGATAATTGTAATTTTATCGTGGTTTTAAAAACATGTGGAATAAGCTACCAAGAACAATCAGAGAAAGTTCAACTTTTGTTAAATTTAAATCAGAGTTAAAAACACACTTGTTTAAATATTACTACAAACTGTGTTGTGTGACATGGTAGCTGACAGTATGTGTTCGTCAAGGAACCTGCAAAATTTTAATCTGGCTCTGACCCTTCCTCACTCAATTGAGAATATCAGAGGTATACAAATAACATAAAAGTAAAAGATAAATATCTTACCTAGCAAATATCAGTCCATCTTTATTACCATAATCCATGTAGACATTACCTCTAGATATAAGACCATCTAGGAAGAATGGTTTGATTTCTAGACATTTTGTAAATGTTTTAACTGCATCTTGTAAACAATCTAACCTATAATAATTAATATATAATCCCATCTTTAAAAAATCTAATCTATAATAATTAATGTCTAACATGGGCTTTAAGTCAAGTGGAATTGTTTCGATCCCAAAAATGTACATGACAAGGAGTAAGTTGTCTTTCCATTTTTCTACATTTCCTCTGCTTTTCTCACACTGCTAAAGACTTCAATGCACAAGAGAAAATTCCAAAACGTTCGAGTATCCTCATAGAATTAATATAAAGGGTTAAAGGAGAAATAACTCTTCATGTAATTGGTCTATAGATACTCTGCATTAAATAAATATAAAACTTACTTATGATAACATAGACCCAGTGTATGATGTATGCGATGATTCTCGGGACTTAATTTAGCTGACATTTGGAAATCATAGAGTGCATTCGCATAATCCTTCCTTTCAAAATATAACAATCCTCTGTTGATGAATACCTGGAAGAGAAATAAAGTTAAATGTTTTCTTAATAATAAAATAATACAATTAACGTACAGTCAATTAGAGATTTAATTATTTTTCAAGCAGGAAGAGCGAAATGATAGTAGACTACTTTTGTTTTTCAGGGGAGAATCATGGTGGTATGGCACTGACACGCTAACCAGGATGGCTGGGTTTGATCCTTGGGATTTTCCAGTCTGCTTTTCCATTGCCAGTGATACCGGACAGATAAACAATTAATGCAAAAATGAGGTCCTGCTTAGTCTAGAATTGGCAGCATAATACAGCCCCCTTAACAATTGGAAATCAAAATATGAGTGGGCTAGAACTGCGAGCAAAGATTCCCTCATAGTACAGTGTCAGTGCACAGTGTATCCTCCGTCTTCATTTGCCCAGTTCGTACATTTCATTTCATTCCTGATTGTTTTGTAACAGGTTCTACACAGTGAATATAAGGAATGGTATTCAATTAACATGCCTTGATCAAACAGTTAATAAATCTTATTCACTTTTGCTTGTGAATATATCTTAAAGGGACAATAACACTTTTGCTGGCTTGACAGCTCCAGTAAATAAATATCAGCCTTATTCTAAGTATTAGATGTTTAAGTTTTCTACCTGTTGTGTAAATTATCCATTACATCCTATTTTACTTGTCCAGAGGGTTCGAAAATATTTTTAAATCCAAGTCACATTTGAAAAGGTATACGTTAGGTTTTTCAAATCATTTAGTTGAATTTTGCCAATTTTTTAAATTAGGTGTGTTAAGATGAAATTTGTATCATCAATTAATTGGAATACTGTAAAATAGTTCAATTTATTGACCAGAATAAAGATTGGGACATATTATTCTGTTACAACAAGAGTGGTATTGAGCCTTTAATTTAAAGAGATAAATACAATACCTTTAATAATAGTTGATCTCCTAATAATAAAACTATACCATAATCCATCAGAGCCTGTTAGTAATATATAATGTTTTCAATATTAATATAAAAAAAGTACTGTATTTTGGGTTAGGGAAACTTTATTAGCCAGCATGTATAATAAACAAGCACAAAGAGTGCTTGGTACTTTCAGTGAACTAGGGTTAGGTCATAAATACTTCAAAATTAGTTACAGAGAGAGAGAGAGAGAGAGAAATGGGGTTTAACGTCCACTTGACACAAGCTAGGTCATTTCAGGAATAACACTTGGTTCAATTCTATTTCTGTAGCTGTGGGAGGAAACGGATGGACCCAGTGAAAATGCACGAGGTTGGACATAAAAGTTTTTACAAGATAATTGTTATTCGTAAATACAATATCTACGAGGTAATCTTTTATTGTAGACACTGTGGTCATGAATAATAGGTGAGGTTTTATTTTTTTTGTTTTGTATTTCAGTTATTTAAGATTTAGATAAATCTGGGACTAAACATCACATGATGAATCATGTAGCTAGGTTACAGCAGAGCCATATCATATAGCGAGACAGTCACCATTGTTACTACCCAATCATACAGCTAGGTTAGAACAGAGCCATATCGAGAGACAGTCACCACGGTTACCCAATCATACAGCTAGGTTAGCTTAAACTATTAAATTTCCACTTACTCCTGTCCTCTTTCAAATCAAGGCCTATAACATGGCTGCTATAATCCAGATGCAATACTTAAACCCTAACAAATGTGCTACAGTGATATTTTGTATACTGACACCCTGATTCAAATGTTATTTGAAACATGCGCAAACAGACATTGTTAGAAGCAATATTCATCTCTGCCATTATCAAGAGGAAGACAAAGAAGATCTTAAAAAATCTTGTTCAGGATGCTCCTGAAGTAGTTTAAATGTCAAAAATAAAGTTGTTCTTTATATATTCGACTGAAAATAAGTTCAAATTCTAAAATAATAAGACATCCTACCTTGTCAAACATTTTGCTTTCTTGATAGCAGACGGCACGGTTAAAGTAGGCCAGTGAACATGAATTGTCAATGGAGGCTGCTTTGGACAAATCTTTTATAGCCAATTCATAAACTCGGATATGAAACTTTAATGCTCCTCTAAAAAAATAGAAATATAACAATTAATAAAGCTGACAATAAGTCTGATTTTTATCACACAAACAGTTCTGGAATAATTAAGGTTATGTAAAGTGTTTGTGGGGACCAATGATACTCCAGTTAGCAACTGGAAAAACTTTCCTGGGGTCACACTGATCCACAGAGTAGTCAGAACAACCAGTGCACTTATACCATTCTGTTTTTAATAGTTATTGACCAAAGTTTGATTGGTTTAGTCAAGTGAGGTAACCTAGTTCTGAAACTGCAAAGTGGATCCGATACTCAACAGAACATTCTGGAATTGAATTCTCACAATCCCATGAAAATTAAGGAAACAAGAATATCTTGGACAACACATTCATCGACTGAATGAAAAAATGTCACAAACAACCAAGACAGTTGAAACAACTCCGCTGCATTTTTTTTCAACACACGATGTTATTCAATTTCATCAGTTATAGGCACTAAATTCTGTGTCACTCAAATGTAATTCTGTCAATTTTGAACTCACAAATGAGGACTCCCAAAGTTACAGATCAATCTTTTTAAAATAACTAAGTAGTAAGTACATGTAGAAAGAGAGAGAGAAAGAGAGAGAAATGGGGTTTAACGTCCACTTGACACAAACTAGGTCATTTCGGGACTAATACATGGTTCAATTCTATTTCAATATTTCGCTTGCGCGTAGGGGTCTTTAGCAGTGGGAGGAAACCGGAGGACCCGGAGAAAACCCACGAGGCATCTAGAAAGAAGTAGTAAAATTTAAAAAAAAAATATTTTGGGCTACCATTTGGATAAAATGATTTAATTACTGGTAAAATTTATAACATTAAGAAGAAGGACTACATTACCTATATAGATAAGCTCTAACACTATTAGGTTGTAATTTTAAAGCTTCATTACAGTTGAGTATAGCTTTAGTATAGTTCTTCTTCATACCATAATAACAGGCACGACTTAGATATGCCTGGAATATTTTAGGATTGATAGCCAGCGCTCTATTGAAATCTTGAACTCCTTTAGACTGTTTTAACTTCATTCGAGCTAAACCTCGCTGATAGAATGCCTGAAATAAAATGATTTTAGAAATAATCAATTTAATAAATAGTTTTTGATAAGATTTATTTTGATTGTGTAGAGTCTGAACTTCTATATTTTCCTTTAATAAAGGCTGAATTCAATGATGAATACTGTCTGGGTGAAAGATTAAATAATATGATTGAACTTACTTCAGCAAAATGTGAATCTAGTTTAATAGCAGAGTTAAATGATTCAACAGCACTGTGAACATTTCTAAGTTCCATATGACAGACACCACATAGATAATGTGCTTCACTTGTTTCTGCTGGCCATGGATCTCTGATACGCCACGGTTTCTACAAGGGAAAAACATTCTTTACAGACTCAAACATGGAAATTATACTACATTTATATTCAATACAAATAAAATAATGTCTTTCTCTAAAGATCAAAGGAATACAGCATCATTCATATCAAATCAATACATAACCTGCATGATAAGGTAAACTTTTAACTTAATTTATACATCCCAACATCAACTTACAGACAGAACCCAATGGTCTGAGCAATCAATGACCTCATTTCCTGTTAATAACTTGTATTAATTGAAGGAAGAGGGTTAAACCAAAATAACACTGTCTGATATGACACATCTCACCTTGGGAGACTCAGTCTGAAACACATCACATAGTGAGGTTCTCCTTGAAAGTATAACCAGTACTCAGATAGGAGCTATTTGAAAGTGGATTATTTCAAAGTGCAGATACTTACAAATCTAGACAAAGCTTCGTTAAAACTGGTAACAGCATTTTTAAATCGTTTAGCTTTCATCTGTGTTTTACCTAGTAACATGAAGAGTGGAGCAACAGTTTTTTTATCTCCTTGATCTCGTACAGTTTTTGTAGCAGCTGTTAATGCATCTATAGCCTATTCAAATAAAACATTCGAAATAAATCATACATCTACACATATAATCAGAGCTTTAACGTCAAAATCTTAACTTTTTGACATATTTTGTTTACCTCTGAATAGCTAGATATTTTATCCAAAGATATAATAATTTTTAAGCATTATGTAAGCATATTTAGCTGTTTCATGCTAGGCAGATAACCCATGACTTGTATAGATAACCAGTGATATGCAGAAGTTTGGTGATACCCGGGTGGCCAACTTCTTGATTGTTCGAAGTAAAATCAGATGAAATAAACTCTTTATTCAAATCAAGTAGGACAGCTTGTACAATAATATTAACAGGGATAATTTCAAATTTCAAAAACTTAATTTTAATTCCAATCTTTGATGGCATGCCATCCTGAAATGGATGCCCAGGAATGTTGCCTTCTCTGCAAGCCACTACAGACAACAGACCTTATGATCTAAAGCACACACATTTAAACCACTTGAACAGATTAGATGTTCAATAACTGGGAATGTACAATAGATACACAATAGGAATATTACTTCAATGAGTTATTCTAGTATGGCACAATTTTCACAAACTTCAAACCATTCAATATTAACATGTAGTTGTTGGTCCACAAAAAAATAAATTCCACTCAATTATTAGATAATTAGTGTTCACTTTTATATTAGTTCAAATATCACAACATAAGTTATTACAGTCTCTATGTGTCATTTGAATGTACTCAAACTCATTATCTATTACATTTAATTAATATTAAAAAAAAAGTCATTGGTAGATAATCTATTTATGGGCTTGGATTTAATCTATTTTTGTCTATTACATTTATTTATGATTTAAAAAAGAAATATATCAATCATAGATAATCTATGTACAGGTTAGGATTTAATCAGATTAAAAAAAATGGCAGCAAAGATTACAGGTGGTGCTTACTTTTGACCATATCATGCTTATATAACCTGAAAAGGATGCTGAATGTTGACTAAAAGAATTGAACAATATTTGGACTGATAATCTCGTTAAAAATTCAACTTTGAAAACATTGTAGTTTGTAAGAAATTCCTAAAAATTTCAAATGACATTCAGAGACTTTAATCACACAATTATAACCTCGGCTAGTGCATCAGGTTTATTTATCGATTTTTTATCAGTATCCGGTTGACCATTCTTTTTAAATAAAATAAAAAAAAGAAACAATATATACATTTATATTATTATCTTTGTAATCCTGCTAATAAATACAAGTTAATTTAATTACGTTTATTCTTGTAACAACTTTATAGGCTACAATATTAACCAAGATTTATCAAAATCAATGTCAAATTAAAAGAATATAAACCCAAAATACTTGCAAAAATAAGCTCAAAAACTTATCTTAACCCATCTTAGAATTATAACTTTAGAAACAATATTTGTAGACAGAGTTACATTCTACAAACCAATACAAATATTTTAGGGTGCAATATGATTTATAATCAATCACAGTGATAAAAATTGAAACAAATTGTGCATTTATTTCAACAAATAGTAAATTCATGTGCAGTAATATAAAACAGTGATCGTATATCTTACCTTATCATAATTTTTAAGGAATGATTGTACAATGGCTTGTTGGGTTGGTCGTTCTCCCAGTGAATTAGACGTTGTATCGACACTCAACTCTGATGCTTGTCTATAAATATAAATATGTCATAATAAATAAAAAAGGGTCCTGGGGCCTGTTTCATGAAATTTTAGCTAAGATAAAATCAGAATTTTAGTAATTTGATTGGATAATATTAGATTGATTTTAGCGCTTAGTCAATCACAATTGAAGTACGAGTGTATCTACTAAAATATGGATTTTAAGATTTCAAGAAACAGGACCCTGGTCCCTGTATACCATCCCCAGCAGGGTTTTCAATGTAAACTCTTGAAACTCAGAGTTTCTACAGATATTGTGGGTCGACAGACAATGGGTTTGCGTCCTTTATTTCCCGAAGTCTGTTAAGGACCAGGCAGTTATTATCTCAATCAAGATGAATTTAAAAATGAGAAAATTAATTGAGAATAACCCAAATGGCAAAAACAATTAAAAGAAAGCTAACTACTAGACTCAAACTATTATCATTAGTGGTTTCATAGATTAATTTACTCAACAGATAGCGAACAATTTATTGGGTGGAAAATGAAATGAAATGGAATGAGCTTTAATGTACTACTTTTCAACATCGATTGGGCTAATGAAGACAGGCATATGCCATGCAGTGTATTATGAGGGAAATTTTGCCCGGGCAGCGGTGCTACTCTGTGCAACATGACTGTGTTTATTCCTAAGTCTATATGCTCGAAAATGATTTGCAATAATCTTGTCATTCACAAAAGGTTGAAAATATATTACCTGACACAGAATGCTGCTAGTTCTAAATTACCAGTTTCCAATATTAACTGACCCTGAAAAATGAGAATAATTTAAGTATTGAGTACACATTAAAGATTATGAAAAAAAAAACCTGAATGCTATGAACTCTGTCCGAAAGTATTAACTGTCAAAATGAGAAAAGAAAGATAACTGTCGAAATTTACAATCTAAATATTCTGATAATTGTTAGGTAGTGTTGAAACTACTATTCGGATATTTGTTAACGGATAAAAAAATAAGGGTTATCCGAATCATTTTACTATCCGTTTACTATTCGTTACAATATATTCTGACATTCCGTATGCTCTATATTTAGCCATTTTTACATCTGATTACTTTGAAATTTTCCCCAATGCAATTGATCACGTACGCAGCTCTGAGCATAATTAATGTCAACATTATGCGTATTATTTAGTGATAGTAACTAATAAAATTATTAATGCAGCGGAATGAAAACAGTAGTCTAAATAAAAAAAAATATTCATTCATTCCCTGCGCAAGTTTACGGCATACGAGTTTAGACTGTGTTTTGACTTCCCGCAATGAAATTTATTTATAACTTATATAGGTCACGTATATTCCCACTCACTGATTGGTTCAATAGTAGTAGATTATCAGAATGAGGCAAACGAACTTGGCGGGATAAATGGCACGTTTTTATTTTACTTTTTTCATTCGTGTTGATTGAGCAAAATGATAAGTGGGAGGGTGCGGATTACAGGAGTAGTTGTACTATACAAATTTCTTCACCTCATTAATTTTTGGGGATATCATAGATAGTTGTAATAATTACGGCTAAAGGTAGGCATGTTTTTTTCTTCGCGGCTCAAACAATTTGCAAATCAAAAGTACGATTTCATACTCGGCATACACAGACACTCATAAACATTGAAACAAGTAAGAAATTATGAGTACCGGCACATGTATATGAACTTTTGATGTAATTTTGTTCAAGAATTTCACGTCTCTGAATTATCCGAATAGTATTCGGATAGCCAACAAAAGTATTCGGATCACAAAAAATCTCGATCCGATTTTCAACACTATTGTTAGGCTTAATCCTCATACCAACATGAGCAATCTGACATGTATCATGGTCGAAATTTTGTCCGAGCTGTTATGTGGTAAACAACTCTTAGATCATAATTATGGAAATTATGGTGCTAACAAGATTTTGTAACAAAGGGGAATAACTCTGCATGTTATTACTGAAAATGGTTGAAAATCATTAGAGTCCATTCTTTCAATAGGACAGAAAATATAAATTTCAGAAAGATAGGTATAAATAATTGCAGCTTAAATATAATGTTCTAACAAGATTTAATAACAATGTCGGTGTAAAATGTAGGCATATAAAACTCACCCTATACATATAATAATGTTGTATATCAGGTCGAAGATGAATAGCTCGTGTAAAATCTCTGATTGCTAACGTTAACTAAAGTATAAATTAAAACGGTCAAATGATATGATCAATTATAGCATTACAACAGTTACAAATACTCAATGATTTTTTTTCTTTTGTGGATCAACAAAATACAATGTATATTTACAACACAATAAATGGTGAATCAATGTCAGAGGTTGGAATTCACTAATTCATCAATTTACTAAGGTATAAGTCATTCATATTTTAGACAATAGATGAGTAGACCCTCTATAGATGTTCAGAAGACATGTAAAATGTGTTCATAGAATATACTGGACTATAATAAGATGTGTTCAAATATATGATGCTGACTTTCCTCCAATATATCAATAATTATAATATACCTCATGTATTTTATGATAAGCTTCACCTCGACATATATAAGCTCTAAGATGAGTTGGATCAACTTTTATTGCTGCTGTAAATTTCTTTATAGCTCTACAATAGGAGATAAAGTAATTATAATATAATGTTATAGTTCTACAATAGGAAATAAAGTGATTATAATATAATATTATAGCTCTACAATATGAAATAACAAAGATTATTATATAATGTTATAGCTCTACAATAGGAGATAAAGTCATTATAATATAATATTATAGCTCTACAATAGGAGATAAAGTCATTATAATATAAAGTTATAGCTCTACAATAGGAGATAAAGTAATTTTATCACCCAATAATACATTCTACAGTAGATATCGCTTGTGTGATATATTTCATAATCTACTGCGATATCTGATTGGTCAGTTGAAAAGGAACTACTTTTTTTTATTTTCAAAGAACAGTTCATTTCTTATTAAAAGTAACTTTTTTTAAAATAAAAATGAACTATTGTTATGCAATTGACCTTGATGGAAACACTGGGTCAACATAAAGGACTTTGCAATGGTTGAATTGCTGTCAAAAAATGATGTATCACTACGCCGTAATGTTCAGTAAAAGTGAAATCTACAAATAAGAATTATATTTATCTATTTGTGCATGTAAGAAGAGATTGGGTGATAAATAAAATCTCCTACTCATCTTTTTTGATATCAAAATATATCAACACTCGTTGAGAAAGTAAAAAAAAAACTCGGCAGAAATAAAGTAATTATAATACAATGTTATAGCTCTACAATAGGAGATAAAGTAATTATAAAATAATGTTCTAGCTCTACAATAGGAAATAACAAGGTCATTATAATATAATGCTATAGCTTTACAATATGAAATAAACAAACCAACTTTAATAAAATATTATAGGGACAGTCACTAATGGTTTAATTACACCAAAAGGAATTCAAAGAACTATCGAAAAGTAAAGTAGTAATGACATTTTTTGGACAACCCCAGTTCTACAATCTCTGTTCTTATTCTTTTGGCATCATCTGACCAACATGTGGTACAATTCTATTTCAAATATTTGCTTGCATCTAGGGGTTTTAGACATGGAGGAAACTGGAGAACCCAGGGAAAACCCACAAGGTTAGGCAGGCGACCATATTCCTTATCACGCCACTCAACTCAATGACAGACTCTATGATGAAAAGTAACACACTAGACCACTTGACCGCCCAACCCATCTGCGAATGATATGAGTACCAACATGAGTTGGGTATTACCTGTGATGATTGTTAAACTTTGTCATGTGTATTAAACCCAGACAAACATGAGCACATGCTATATCTTTATTTAAAGCTAAAACACTCTCAAAATCAGCTATAGCATCTTCTGGACTGAATTATATAAAAAACAAAACATGCACTGTTATATTTTTTTTTGTACTTAAAAGTAAATGATGAAAATGCTTCCTCACCATGGGCCAGATTGCACATATGTGCCATGCAGTCTGGATATACATGTATAGTAAAAACTGATTTCAGATAAATTGGAAATTGTCTACCAATATCCTGTCTGTAACAACAAAATAGACAGACAATTGACACCCTGCCATTATCTAAGACACTCCCCTCGGTATTTTTCTCTGTTTCTTTCCAATATACTAGATTGAGACAGCTAAACAACTGTTCTGAAGGATTCAATTCAATATGACTCATAGCATTTTCAATAAATGGACAACATGCAGACGAAAAGATTAAACCTGAATTATTTCCCATTAAGATACAGGATAGGACAATAGTCATGAGATGAAATCTACTCTAGAGGGAAACAAAGGTGGATGGTTCAATTAAACGTCATTCTGTTTCTTCACTAAGAATGCTTAAAAGTATTTATTGTAGATTAGGACTGTAGTTTAGGATTAGCCCTAGCCCTAACCCTATTTACATCTTGTTACCTATGATGAAATCTGCAATGGGCCTTAGCTTTTAGCTCTAACCCTATGGCAAAGTGAGTCAGGGGAAGCAGCTCCATGAAGACTAAAGAGGAGATAATTCATTTTCATTACATGCTAAGTAAGAAATATGATAATTTTCATTTAATGATGGAGGGATAATAACAATGAAGGTAAATGGTATAACTAATGACAATATATAGTTTATAGTCTTACCTGCCTAGTTCATCATATAATATACCTCTATGCATGAAAGATAATAAATTATCTTCAGAATCTTCTAATAATAAAGATACACTATAATCCTGTAATGCTCTTTCAGGATTTGATCTACAAAAATAAAGTAGATCTTCTAGCTGGTTTTAAATAAAAAATGATAATTCTATATAGTTTTCATTCAAACAAATATAACAAATAGGGTCCCGGTTTCAACCCAATGTTGTCTGAAAAAGTATGTCAGGAGTGGTGTCTAGTCGTTTGGCATCCACATAAAAGAACCCTTGACAGTTTGAATTTGAAATAAAGAGAGAGAGAGAAATGGGGTTTAACGTCCACTCGACACAAACTAGGTCATTTTGGGACTAATGTATGGTTTAATTTTATTTCAATAATTCGCTTGCGCATAGGGGTCTTTAGCAGTGGGAGGAAACCGGAGGACCCAGAGAAAACCCACGAGGTTGGACAGGTGACCCTACTCCTTGTCATGTACAACCTGGGATTCGAAACCTTGCCAGTTGACTCAATGACAGGCCTTATGATAGAGCGTGCAGGTGCTAACCATTCAGCCATCCAACCCCCCGAATTTGAAATAAGAGCAGGCTGTAGTGAAACTGTTCAAGAAAAATGAGTCTGGTTGGAGCAGAGAAGTAGAATGCTAAACCCTATATTTATTTCATGTATAACAAATTTGATTAAGGAGAGGAAATTAATCAATTTGTTAATAAAAAACACTTCTCAAAAACCACTCTTAATTTCACAGCTATAAATTTAACCTTTCAAAGGTCAATGTTTGAAACCTGTGATGCAACAACAAGAGAATATATCAAATTAATACACCTGAATCAAACCAGCATATATAGAACTTATAAATATCATATAATCTTACTTTCTAATAATACAAGCTCTATGATAAAAAGCTTGCCAGTTGTGTGGATCAAGATGGATGGCTGCTGATAAATCTTGTACCGCTGGTATCCATTGACCTAGTTTAGCGTAGGCTCGTCCACGATATAATCTAGCTGTAGCGTTTAATGAATCGACTCGTAATAAATCTGTAAAATCATTGATAGCATTGTTCCAGTTTGGATTCCTGAAAATAAACATAAATTCAAAATAAAAAATAGAAACTACTTTCTCTATTTTTACTGATGACGTTTCTGCACAAAACATCTAAATTGATTTTGTCTTCTAAATCAGATTGCTTTTGTCAAAATACATTGTTTCGAAAAAAAGTTGTTTTATATAGCCTTGATTTTGATTCTTTTTAAACTCAAGTTCTTTTAAATACCCTTTCACGTTAAGTTTTGCTTGAACAAATGGTTCCAGAAAAATTCATAACCTTAAGAAGTCAAAATATAACAAAATATTTATGAAATGAAATAACTACAACCCCCCAAAAAATAGATAATTTTAAAAATAACATGCAAACAAAGAAACTGTTGAACTGTAATACAACATGATACCTTTTTTCTATAGGAAAGTTAATTGGGATATAAGCTTTACCAGATCTAGTAAACTTAGCTTCATCATCACACCTTTAATTTTAATTACGGTACAAGAATTAATATCAGAGAACTGGCAGGAATCGATATGCATAACCATTTTGCCTCTTTTCATATCCTTTAGACTGTACACTTGTATGGTTAAATGTAATTATATTGAATAAAATATTGTCTCCATAATAGGACGAAATTTCGTATCTGAAAATGATATCAGATTTTGCCGAAAACTTGAAATGGGTATTGGGTAGACCTTTTAAATTTGGGTCAATAATAAATTTATCGATTTTGTTGGTTTTTATTGATTTGTGTGATTTCAATCTGTCTTTGTTAAAAGATAGAGCCAATGTTGTGATATATTAAATATTGTTTGTGGACATTCAGTAAACAAACTGACTTCTGTTTAATCATTTGAAAACAAAGCAACATTTAGCTCCTTTATTCATGGGGCTCATGGTGGAAAACCGTTGTTTACAGCATACAGACCACTCTCCCTATGCTGCGATGCAGATGTCTTATTATCTGCCATTAAGACTCTTAAGACAGATTCTACCCTGACAGAATGATATCAATAAAACTTACTCATGTTCAAAATAATAAAGACCATGTTTCATGATGGCATCCGTCCTGGTTGGCATGATCTTTTTAGTTGTTGCATAATCTTCTAACGCTAATAATACCTCTCCTCTCTGGAAAAATTATTTTGAGAAATAAATTGGCAATTGAAAGACAAAACTGTTTGTAAAGTCTAGGTCTATCTTAATCAATTCAAATATAAATATTTGACAAAATACAGTCTTTGTCCAAATTAGTTTCATGATCTCTGCATTATCAGAGAGAGTCGTCAATCCATAGTTAGTCAGTAAAACTGAGCCATGTTTTATTTAATTAATTCTACTTTCAACAGACTACACAATTCTGGATGTTAGGGTTAGTAAGCTTGTAACATTTGTAATGAGTTTGAATATCATGAAATGATCAATGAGTGAAATGGTGTACATGTGAGGGATCCCTTGAATTCAAGAACGAAAGATGCAGTGTTGATTATTTAGCCGTGTTTAATGGTATATAAATTATATCGAATGGAGTTTAATGTCCTACTTTCTGCACCAACCAGACTAATGAAGACCTAAAAATAATCTAACACTGGGTGTATATTATGTGTTCGATTACTTATTTGGTCAAACATGGTTCTCAAAATTATTTTAAATTAAAAGACTAAATAAAATATTTTTGTTACCTGTTCATACATCTGAGCTCGTTGAAAATATGCTTCATGATCTTTGGGATTATATTTAATAGCTTGTGTAAAATTAACTATCGCCATGGTTACATCCCCCTGTTTACGATATATCTCAGCCCTAAAATAATTAAAAAGTCATTTACAAATGATAAAACATTGACGTTGTATTGGACACAGTATGATTGAGCTACCTGTTATCTGGTCGCCTGGCAGTTTCGATCCCTCGGTTGTACGTGAGTGGACGTTAGATCCCCATTTCTCTCTCTCTCTCCCGGTCGCCTGGACAAGATTTTATTTCCAGAACTGCAGGATTTGTATGGTACAGTTTGCTCAAATGTAAAGTAAATCAAATGAAAAATTGTTTAGACCATTAATTATGGTAGAAATAAAGATCCAGACGAACGAAAACATTGAAACTGTCAATGCACATTTTCTTTCTATAAGTTGCCATGTAGACTGCTATGTTGTCTTGTCATGCTTGGAATATGTCCAAAAAGTAACAGTGATAAAGCTAACTTCGACCTAGCAGTCTGTGGATATCAGTCTTTAGAATTATATATGAGCATGACAGATTTTGAAAATTGGGGTTGTGGTGGGAAAAGGCTTGAAGCACAACAAAAAGTAGGTTCCACTGACGATTATTAAATGCTAACTTGATAGAATGGGAATGTTCACCCCTTTCCACCTGCACAAATGGAGTTTTCTTTTGCGTTATGTATACTTACATAGATCTATAAGCCCCACCATGATGTTTGTTTTTCTTCATAATAAACTGTAGATCATCTAATGCTGCCTGTTTTTTCTCTTGTAATATATATAAAAGATGACGATGCCAATATGCATCTAATAATAATGGTTCTAGCTCTATAGATCTGTAATAGATGAAGATAATTCATGTAATTATTTGATTAATTGAGATGAAATGAAAAAAGTGGGTTTATGGTAGAAAACGTTACGCAGATTTCTCAGAATGCCAAGGTTCAGCACCCCTGATTGCAGAAAGTCTGATGAATAAAAAAGGGACAGTGAAAATATACAAACTACAAAAATACAATGGATGAATTGTACAAAATCAATTTACATATGAAGAGTCCAGGGGAAGAACGATCTAAGTCACTTTTTCCACGAATCCCAGTTGATTGCGCCATCTGGTAGCAAATTGTATAAGCTTTTTGTGGAACAATCAATTTCAGTTAAAAACGATCTGAGTCACTTCGAACCAAGGCCCTTCTGAAATGGCCTCCCGAACAAATACAAGTCCATCGTACCCTTTATTTAACCTTAATTTGCCTGAAAAGTTGAAGTCAGTTGTACTGGTAATTATGGTTCGTGTTAAACATCATTTTGAAGTTGTAATTAAACCCACTCGTTGTTCTGTTCGAGTCAAATATTCTCGTCCAAAAGTCTGTTTTGCATTTTATTCGAAACAACAAAAATGTGACTTAGATCGTTCTTCCCCTGGACTCTTCATATATTAAGCCATACAAAATAAATATTCAGGTTCTCAGAAAATCGTTTCAGAAATCTGATGGGGGGGGGGGGGGGTATTTTTGAGTTTTATTTGTTATTTGGTCAAAGAATCACTACTGTTCTAAATGACTTTTCATAAACAAGACATTGGATTTATCTCATCATATTTAGGTGCTGTAATTAATGAGACTGATTTCATTTTTTCATTTTTCGAAATAAGAATAGGTCATGCGACCCTTTTTAAGTGATGTGGGAGTATTGGAGAAACATAGTATTTTTTTATATGGCCTTTATGGACCATTAATAATATTAGTCTTTGTAAGTTATAACTTATATATTACTTACTTATTCAAATCATTGGCAGCTTTCTTTAACTGTCCAATCTGAAAATATTAAATGGAAAATAAATCTTCATGATTTACATTGTAACATGCAATTTTAGTACTGCTAAATATTCACAACAAAACACAACACAAGGTATATATGGATATAACTACTTCTCTGTTGTTTAATAACAAAGTTTTGTAACGTATACAGGTCAAGTTTTCAACATAGATATCCTGTGTTTTGTCTTGAAAATTTTAGTGCTACATTAATTTTACCTTGCACTAGCTCAACTCCGTCAACGGAACCCAAGTATAACGGTGTAAACTAGAATATGGGAAAAGAGCAAGACCCAAAAAGAATTGATCATGCAACATTGTGATGATAAAATTGTACGAACCTTTCTATATAAAGCACCTCTACGACAAAGATCATATGCTGTTGGTTTATCACTGGCTTCAATAATCTGAGTAACTTTATCTATCTCTTCACGTAAAATCTACAAAAAAACACCAATATAAACATAGATTGTTTAATCTGATCAAAATCATAATTCTTACAATTCAAAAGGCTGTATTTTCTCTATCGATATACCGATTGTCACAAAAAACACACAGAGTTTAGTTCAATCTAGAGATTATTACTTAAAGGCTCAATACCACTCTTGTTGTAACTGAATAATATGTCCCAATCTTTATTCTGGTTAACAAATTGTACTATTTTAGGATATTTCAATTAATTGATGATACAAATTTCATCTTAACACACCTTATTTAAACATTTTGAAAAATTCAACATAATGGTTTGAAACGTCTAACGTAAACCTTTTCAAATGAAACTTCGATTTAAAAATATTTTCGAACCCTCTGGACAAGTAAAATAGGATGTAATGGATAATTTACACAACAGGTAGGACACTTAAACATCTACTACTTAGATAGAGATATTTTTATTTTCTGGAGCTTTCAAGCCAGCAAGAGTGTTATTCTCCCTTTAAAGTCTCTGTTGGTCGTTGGTGAGATTTATAAGGCAAACTACATTATATTGTGAAAGGAATATCAGCCCCAAAATGGTTCAATTCCATTCAGTATTTACAAAAGTATGAGTTGAAAATATGTCAACATTTATGATGTAAATAACTAACATTAATAAATGTAACATTTATCCCTTTCTGAACATGATGCTGTGATGCTGTAACGCCCACCATGCGAGTGGCCAGTTCTCCAACTGCTAATAGTAATTTTCCTTATTGAAATTTAACAAAAGTAATGGATGGAAGGTGTACTTAAGATAGTAATCTAGATGATTAAATAAAAATATTTGGAATAGACGTCATCTTGACCTGGGTGTTCATAGATGGTAATAAGTTATTCTTCCGGAGCATACTGACATTCTAAGACTGAAAATGATGAGGCCATAAAATCAATAGAAATGTGGGATCTTGAATGACAATTACTTGCATTAAGACTGACTGATTAGAAGCAATATACCTTTTTCAACAAGACTACATTTTTTATTGTGTATGGATGGACATATTATGCCTTTAATGGGCCAATCCCAATAATATTTTGGAGAATAAAACTGCTTATTTTTGTGTTAAAATCCCTTAAAATCCTCTACCTAAGGGCCAAGCAACTGACTCAATATTTGTGATACATTTTCAAACAACGTAAACCCGTCAGTCTTCATCTGGAAATCGAGACCGGTGTCCCTCTGGTCTACAGAATATTCAAGAATTTACAGACTTTTTTTTTAATAAAAATAACCTGTAGGTGAAATGTATCTTTCGTTAACAAGTACAGCATGTGGGTCATTCACTGTATAGACCTCTAAAGGAACGGGAATCGATTATCAGGTTACCCAAAGATAAAATTCACCGAAAATCTTAAAAGGGTTACGTGTCCGGATAAGCATTTTTGACGTTCACATCCAAACAACTCAATATTTTGCGCTGAAATTTTGAGACAGGATAAATACACCATTCCTCCATATTTTGGCGCTTAAATTCCATACGTACTCGGACTTTTATTTTTGAGACTCTGTTCAAATCGGGATAGTCCCTTTAACATTAACTTACATTTAATATTTCAGTGTTTTCTTCCGTATCTTCTACAGGTTGTAAAGCATCAATATCAGATAATACACTCTGTATAGACGGTCGTCTGCAAAATAACATCACCCTTTACCAAATTTAGGAAATATATCATTGAAGTAAGTTCAATCATATTATTTAATCTTTCACCAAGATAGTATTCATCATTGTATTCAGCATTTAATAAACGGGAGCCATGGTAGCTAAGTGGGTAAGATGCTTGCTCGCTAGCCTGGAGGTTGGGTGTTCGATCCCTGCATTGGCCGAGAAAGTTCATCCAGATTTCCCGGCGTGGTTCACCCTTGTCAGTGATGCAGGACAGAGGGCATGACAAGGACAGCTGTCTAGTCGTTCGGATGGGTGGTAAAACCGAGGTCCTGTGTACTCATTGGCGTGCACGTAAAAGTTCCCTTGACAGTTGGAATTCGATATAAGAGTAGGCCGTAATGCCGCTGTCCAGGCAAAATTTCCCTCATAGCACACTGTATGGCGTATGCCCGTCTTCATTAGCCCAGTTCGGAGCAGAACAGTAGGACGTTAAACCTCATTTCATTTCAATTTTGCTATTATGTGTATACATAGCTGTTACAGGAACTAATAATGGAAATAAAAAAGTTTGTTTTTAACCAATATTTTGTGTTGCTCATCAATTAAATCGTTGTTACTCCTGCACTAGCAAATATATGATAATGACAAATTTCCCATTGTCATTTACATATTCCTGAATGAATAGTAGTAGCGATCCTAGCAGTCAAAGGAATACAACTTTAAACTTACCTTTTAACTTCTTTCGGTGGTTTAGGTTTAAGTAATGTAAGTTTATCAAGTTGGGGTAACTTTTCGTCATCATCCTCTCCTTCTGAACCAGACGGAGTAGGGGGATACAGTTCATCAAACCAGGTATTCCATATATCTCTTACCCATTCTCTCTCATCATCATCTCCACTGTACAAAAACAAAACAAAATCAGACAGTTTTGAAAACAGCTTTGGTCAGATGTCTTATTTTTCGTTATAGCTTGTGATTGTTCACATACCCACAGATCTCTGCAATATTTTGCTAAACCATATTCATAGCTTTTATCGTCAACTGTAAATCTGGTTCAGCAAGTCTAATACATATCCAGCTTATTCTTGTTCTGTATGTCTTACTTACTGAATAAACTAAATAATAAACATTATGTTCAGAAAAGGAAAAGGGGGAACACACAAAATGAGCATGCTCTTTACTGATCATGAAAAGAAAATTATCAGGATCTGCAACATTCTTTATGCAGAAACTGCATCAATTCTGGTCGTCAGCAAAAATCTCTTGAGTCTCCTTTTCTACTACGAGCTCACAGATCATAGTGTAATAAACATTATTTACAAGGTTCTAAGTGATGTACCAGTATGTAATCCCAACGACAAAAACACCAGTATTCATAGTCAATACCATGTCAATAATGGTAGACAGAGAAATAGGGTTTAACGTCCAGACCATTTTGGGAGCAACACATGGTTCAATTTCATTTCAATAATTCACTTGTGTATGGCGTCTTCAGCAGTAGGAGGAAACCAGAGCATGAGGTTCGACAGGTCACATACAAGCGTGAAAATTGAAACCACACCACTTTACTCGATGACAGACCTTATTATCTACATCACACGCGGTAACCTGCCTTTTATAACCAATATATATAACATGTATCAGGTATCTTTGAAGATTCAAATAAGATTACTTTGAAAGTTGAACAACATATGGTGTGACTTACCTTATTTCACCTTTCTGTTTAAATTCTTCAAAGTCCAGTAAATTAGGTTTACTACTTCTTATTTCTGTTCTAATATGTCTGAAAGATTAAAGATTTGTCAGGAATCTTCATTATTGTAAATATAAGCAAATATGATGTCAGTTAATCAAGGTCCAATACACTTTCTTAAATATAATTGATGTTAATGAAATGAATTACCAGAACAAAAATAAATTCTAATTCTAAAGACTATGTATGATTTTAGCTCTATAGAATCCCTTGAAAACTACAATATTGTGAAAGTTGAATCTCTAATAGGATTATCAGTCTAAAAATGGTTCAATTCCAGTAAAAATATTATAAAAATATGACGAATTGAAAATTCCATTGCTGCTCCCTAGGTAACAAGATGGCCACCATCTTTAATTGCTTCAAACCAAATTGATCAGCCCTGTTTTAAATCCAATTGAATCCAAGTTGGGAGAATATCTAGCATTGGTATTTTAATTTTCTTTTCTTGATTAAATGCTAAATAATTTATCTAGGTACATATTAGCATGGAATAAGCCATTAGAAATTTGATATTTTCTGCAAAATGCAAATCATGCATCGTTACCCTAAAGTGACCAAATAATGCCATTATGAATGAATGTATTGAATATTAAATGATACTTACTGTGGTACACGAAGTTCTCTCTCTATAACTCTTGGTATATTAGGAAAAGATGAAGATCGTGATAAAGTGTTAGGTTTCTTAGTTAGAAAAGATTCAATTTCTTCCAATCTTTTCATGTCTACTGGTACTTCTATTTTCTTCCTAAAAAAACAAAAATCATTCTAATACACAACAAATTTATTTTAAATTTCATTACACTTTGAGAATATTCACAAATTTTTATTAAATTTTTATTTAAGACTGCATAATTTCAAAATAGTTTCTGTCTTTCCCCACAGATTGAGATGAACATTAAATTGCAAAGATAGGTTGCCAGGCATTGAATCATATTCAGTTTGATAATAACATAGTTATGTTTGTTTACTTACTTCTGTTTTGGAAGAACAACATAATTACGTCCTGCTTCTAGAGCTAATTCTGCTGGAGTTAATTTATGTTCTATTAAATAAAAAAATCAACACTCATCAACAATATTGTCAAAAATATCATCAACAATATTATCAAAAATATCGTCAACAATAATATCAAAAATATCATCAAAAATATTATCAAAAATATCATCAAAAATATCATGAACAATATTATCAAAAATATTATCAACAATATTCATCTCTCAAATCAAATTGAATCAAATCAACAATTTCATTATTTACTAAGATTAAAGAGGAAATGTCTTTTTAATATTGGATGATTATTTTGAAACAGAATTCCATTCTTATTTTATCATAGTAAATTCATTTCGCTACAAAATTCATAAGAGTCTACAAAATGTTTGGTATATGGCCCTTATTTTGGGGATGTGATTTTTCTAATTATAGGATAGGCCTATTATATGTTCTACAGAAGAAACCATAAATTTTATTTGTGAAATTATTTTTTTCAAATTTGCAACTGACCTTTTTGAGGAAATGTTATCATTGGTACTTCAATTTCTATCTCATCTCCATAAAACTCATCCTACAAAATACAAACACAAAATAACAACAAAATAAAGAGCCACTTAATATTATATTCTTATCTTTTAAAAGGAATTAATCTAAACTTGACAATGGATCTACATATATACGGTTGGAGTCCAATCCTTGTTTTTTATTTGCGTCCATAAATTAAACCATCATCAGGTTGTGTGCACCCATCTTTCACTAGCTAAAGTCATATTTAAGCCATTTTAAATCTATGATGCCAAACTGTTTACAAATCGATCAATTCTATCCTAGTTATGATCAATTAAGTTTACACTGGTTTCTATTGATTTTACACGGCCATCTTTAATTATCTCCTTAGATAACTATAACTATAATAATAATAAAAACTGTGCTATCCTTTACGTACAAGTCAGCCCATTCCACATGAAGGCCTTTTCAGTTGTGTTAACTGCATAATAATAACAGTCAATCCATTAAAATAGAGCATATTAATTTCAATTTTGAAATATATGAACGATCTTAAAGATACATTATGGAAGATTAGATAAAGAGCTGGCAGTTCTTACTGTAATAGTTAAAAACTAAATAATGTAAAGGGAATATGCTAAAAATTTCAGTCAAATTACTCCACACTGAACCGAGATATTAGCGATTGAATTTTAGGCATAGCCTCGATCATCATTACTAAAGTCAGTACGATAAAAAACATAGTCTCGATTAGTCTCAATGAACGTTGAGCAGTAGATCGAAATTCAAATCCATTGAAAATCCGACACATAAAATGGCATCGAGAGTTGATTAAGGTCTTTTCATGTTAATAAATGTCTAATTAATAGTTATAACATTTCAGGCCCAAAGAAAGACCTGCAATAGGCAGATTTAGCTCTTGCATCATGTAAATATTTTACTTCAATAATAAAATTTTACTTTTAACATTTCAATAAGGTATGATCCTCAATGCAATTGTTTTAAATAAATAAACATTATTTAACCTCTTCTTCTGCTTCAGTAAATAGTGGTGTAGTTTTGACTATTGAAATTTCCTTTTCACCTAATGCTTTACGTAATCGGATCTCTTTTATCTGAGCTTTCTGTTCTTGTATCTACAATTCAAAAACAACATAACTTATAATACAATAATTCAACTCCAAGTACAATCCAAATATTTTACTTCAGGTTAAATTAAAGGGGATTTTCAAGTTAGAGTCAGAATGATAGGAAATGAAATGAAGTGAAATAGGGTTTAACGTCCTACTGTTCTGTACTGACTGGGAGAATGAAGACGGGCATACGCAAAACAGCATGCTATGGGGGAAATTTTGCCCAGACAGCAGCGCTACAGCATACTCTTATATCGAATTTCAACTGCCAAGGAATCTTTTACTTGCATTCCAATGTGTACATGGGATCTCGCTTTTTTGTCCCATCTGAACGACTATACATTGTTTCTTGCCAGACCCTCTGTCCTGCACTACTCATTGACATCCAGGTTAGCGACCCAACGTCCTACTCACTCAGACACTCTGGCTCCCTTGAACTGAACTAAAAGACTTTCAAGGATAGCAGTTACCACACGATGTAAAGACTTTTCAAGGTTTTATGAAACAGGAAATGTATTTTAACAGTCAATGATCAACTGAACTTGGCTTAGAAATTTACATTTATCAGTCAGTTTGCTATTAATGATTAAACTAAAAATAAAAAACACAAATTAGACAAAACAAATTTTTTCTGAAAAAGCAGGAAACAACAAAACATGATTAGCTATGAGAACTCTTAAAATGAGAGAAGTGGTAGGAGATCTAGAATAAGTAAGCATAATCTGTCCTGGGCATTACACCCACTATTTATACCTAATTGGATCAATGGTTTGGTGTGCCCTGTTAATCACTAATACAGCATGTACTGATCATTATATTGAGGTCGGATTTCAATATCAACTATGGCATACTAAAGGAAAAGTCCATATTTTTCACAGGACACTTGTGTTACCAAAAGAGACTTTAAGTGTGGAAATCGTCCAAAAGTGTTTGAAAATCTCAAATCAAAATATTGAGGTATTTGGTAACAACCACTAAATTAGCTTAACAGGGTTAAGCAACTCATTTAGGAAATTTCATTCTTCAGTTGTACAAGTTATATTGGCAAGTAGATAGATATGGTTTTCCAGACAATTACATAGTCTGGGATTTGGGGATTTACTGCCATTTCCATGTGGAAATGGAAAGTTTGTATAGTTGGACAGGACAAGGATAAAGATTTACTGGAGCCTTAACCTGAAATAAACCAGTTTTATTCACTAAAATAAAAGCAAACCGATAATTATAATATTTATACCTCTTCCATAGCTGTAGTAAAATCTTGTGGCACTAACAGAGTATCATCTTCTGTACAAAGATTAGGCTGTGATTTAGATTTCCTAAATAAATTTAAAAAACAACTTCAGTTTCATATAACTGACAATAAACCACACAATCAAACAGAATTCCCCAAAATCAATAAGGCAAGAAAACTACACACTAAAACACAGGACAAATCAAATGAGATTGAGTAATAAGCAAAGACAGAGAGTACAATATATTCCCTCAGACATCTATAGTTTTGTTCGATGACTCGACGACTGTGGGTGTTCCCTGTGAATCATTATTGCAGAGTAAATTTATTAGTGGTAAAATGATTTAGATGCAGTTTTGAGTATTGTACATGATTTAAGTATTATGGATTGATAATATTATGCTTAATAAAATATTTGCACACTACATTCTTCTTGTCGGACCAGAAACTGGGTCCTGAGTGCCACTCCTCATCCTGTTGTTCTTTGAAAAAACCATAAGCTCTGCCAATTCAAGTTTGATCAATATGAAACTTAACATGTTTGTTCCTTGGACAATTGTGCATCAAGTAACAGATTCTTTACAGGATGTCATAATTCCAAGATGACGGTGATGATGTTATAATTGGTTCTGTATATATAGTACAAGACAGGATAATAGTAATAATTACCTGAGTACAGTAAATACTGGTAATATTTCATCTTTAATAAGATATTTAGGTAAAAACGATGTATCTTTAGTATATAATAAATCTGATGAATAACTGGTATAAACAACATCTGCTACAACTGCTGTAGTTTCTGCTCCTTCTTCATCTGTTGTTATAGGTGGTGGCTCTATGTGATAACCTGTATAAGGATTTATTCGACCTTCGGCAACTTTCTCATCATATAAAGTCTTAGCTTTAACCAAATTAGATAAATTATCCAGAGATTTATATCTTCTAGACATAATTCTGAAAAGTATAAAAACAATTTGTTAATTTCCTGTTTTTACTTTACATGTATCTAAAATATATATCAATGTCCTGTACACACTATGACGCATTTGGAAAGCTTTCTTTGGGAATGGTGATGTTTTAGTTTTGTAGAACTGACAAGAAAAATATTATCTGAGATTGTTATTCAGATATGAGAGAGAGAGAGAGAAATGGGGTTTAACGTCCACTCGACACAAACTAGGTCATTTCGGGACTAACATATGGTTTAATTTTATTTCAATAATTTGCTTGTGCGTAGGGTCTTTAGCAGTGGGAGGAAACCGGAGGACCCGGAGAAAACCCACGCGGTTGGACAGGCGACCATGTCAGTTGACTCAATGACAGGCTTTATGATACAGCGCGCACGCGCTAACCATTCGGCCATCCAACCCCCCTATTCAGATATGATTTGTATGAATAATTAGTAGGACTTTCATATTAAAGAACTTGGGTTAATCTACTGGGGGCATTTGACTCCTATGTCAACTTCTATCCAGTAGCTTCAGCTTTTAAAATACAGGTCCAACAAATAACCATAGCTCCAGTATTAAGAGTCTTGGATGCCATGCATAAGTGAGGGTAATTACTTTTTATAGAACTCCTGATAACCCTTCTCTAAAGTGCTAACAAGATTTCCTAATAAAGAGACATAAACCTTGGAAGCTATCCAAAACGGTTCGATTTTTCTTTCCAATATAAAGTTCAGTTCAGACAGATGATTATCCAGTTAAAATATCTCATGCATTCGAGTCACTTTTTTATCTTTTTATTACCTTTCATAGATTTCTTTATCTTCGGGATCCATCGAGTCTACTTGATTCTCACCATCACTATCACTATCTGTATCGGACATACCAGCCATGTCATCACCTAGTCCGGCACCAAATACAGGAACTTTATATTCAGGGAACAACACTTGTCGTACCTGGGCTGGAGGAACATCTAATTTAGGAGGAGCAGGGTTCCAATAAACTCGAGATTCATCAAACTTTATAGACGCCTTCACACCCTGTGCTACTATGTCACCCGATGAAAACTAGAAAATAATTAATGTTAAAGATATTAGCCATTCCAATGAAACAATACCAGAGGGGTGGGAAAGTCACTTGGTTCAAATGGAAGCTGAAACTTCTAGATGTTTGTTCATGATAGGGTGATTATACCCTAGTGAAATAAACCATAGTAATTGTTACTCTATAAAAATGTGTTATTTGAAGGTGGTTATGCCAGTTTTGTCTAATATCAAGAAATTCCTGATGATGTCTGTCACAATTTAACATAATTGTAAAATCTGTTTCTTTGTTCTATATACTGATGTAAGCATAATAATCTTAATAACAGACAGCTTTATGGATAACATTCACTGGGTTTATTAAGCTTGATAATGATGAGAGGTCCTAATTGAAACATTGCAGTTAATAAACCTAGTGAATGTTATCCATAAAGTTGTCTGTTATTAAAATCGCTTTCACTAAATGCCTTTTAAACACATAATAATCTTATAACTGTTGGTCGACATTTCCACAAAGCATGGCAAACTTTCAGAAAGAGGCTTATAATAACTTATCTCACTTTTGATATAATAAGAGTAGTCTGCTTTTTATAATTCATAAATAAAATCTTACCACCGTCTCAGCTCGTTTCTGCCAGGCTTCCAAAGAATCATCAACATTGTCCACTTGCTTGCTTTCTTCTAGAACTCTCTGGGCTGCCATGACAATTCTATCCTCGTCTTTAATTGATAATTCTGGTGATTCTGGTATAGTTTCTGGTATTATACCTACCGGTCCGAGTTTACCAAACTAAATAATATAACAAATCAACCATTCATTTTATTACATGCATGGCAAATTTATAGGCCACAGTGCATGTATATTGCATTTTAGTAGTCAGAATCAATCAAACTAAAAATTTGTTGAGGCCAAAGCTTTTAGTTACACATTTTTGAGTTTTTAAATTTTAAACAAAACAAATGTTTGCAAGACAAGTTGATACTTATTTATCAAGAACCATGAAGAACTAAAAATTAATTTTGTTTGACCTTTGTGGACAACGGCAACCAGTTTATTTTCTCTGCACTATTCCTGTAGATCTTGTTCTGTTTGTTTGATAATGCAGTTGTACTGCTGCTGCTCTGTCTTTTTTTAGTGGTATTCAGTTAAAATCAGATGCAGATTTCTCATTTGTTATTCAAAATTGTGGAACTGAACTCACAATTTGTATTGATGACAGACTTGTTGTGAACAGTCCAATGATTTAGAGCACTCGGTCACCCAAGCCGTATTATATTTTAATTGGGAAGTCAGAAATGTTATCCAGTACTTACTCTGTACGGTTGATCAGGATTAACTCCCTTATAGCGATCAGGTGTATGATATTTGCGTCCTATCTGTTGAAATTGTTTGGGCAGTTGAAACTCTGTAGTCATTGTGCAGAAATGGTGAATATGTTTGGGCGGCTTCTGCTCAGTTGGAGTTATTGTATCAGGTTTTGTTTCTTGAACACTAGATGGCGCCCATGTAGAGAGGAATGAGACAGACGTAGAATAAACAGGAGTTCTGTTGGATGTATCTGGTGCTGGTTCGACTCGTGATTCTAGAGATTTCTTGTAACCTTGTACACTAACTAAATCTTCATAAGTAGCCATTGATGGTGTATGTAGATCCTCCCAGGCCTAAAATATGAAATAAGATGTTCCGAATTGGGTATGTAGGAATTCTGGAAATGGGTAAATACAACCTAGTAACATTATTTTGGTTGATAAATGAAATGAAATGAAATGGGGTTTAACGTCCTACTGTTTTGCATTTTGGTTGATAACATTATATATTTTGTGCAAATGTTAAAATAAATGTGACTGAAAAACTCTGAATTTCAAGAGTCCTGGTTGTACGTGACAAGGAGTAGGGTCGCCTGTCCAATCTTGTGGGTTTTCTCCAGGTCCCCTTTTTTATTCCCACTGCTCAAGACCCCTATACGCAAGCGAATCATGGAAATAAAATTGTACCATATGTTAGTCCCAAAATGACCTAGTTTGTGTCGAGTGGACATTAAACCCCCATTTCTCTCCCTCTCTCTCTCTCTCTGAATTTCAAGGGAATTCTTATGATCCAATAAAGAAACCATGTAAATCTGAACAGTTTATCTGTGGGGTGTTCACTAGCAAAATGTAGACAGATAACAATCCATATTGTGGGCTGTCATGACAAATCAGGATCATTACCTTATGTAGGTCTAATCCTTCTTGCTGTTCATCTTCATCATCCCCAGTCTCCTCAACTTGTTCCACTTCTTCATCATCTCTCGCTGAACATAGTTGACTACCAGTAACTGGTAGTGGTACAGATGATGTTAAAACTACACTAGGACTGTTTAACTATAAATAAACAATCAAATGGACTATTTAAACTATATATTGATTATATCTTAATTCCTACAAATGGATAATTCATATCATAGGGCATTACCAAATGTGGTGGTCTTGAAATATTACACTATTGATATCAGGCTGAAGTACATGATCTCCTTTCAGGTACTATATAAATTTGGTTTCAGAATATTAATTCTTAATGTCTAGATAACTGAAGCTTATATATATTTACTTGGTTCCTACAGAAAACTTATTCATAAAATGCAAAAGCATTTTTGTGACATTTATTTATTGTGAATGTCCGGCAATGATGGCACAAATGTGTCCTGCAATGATGGCACAAATGTGACACAGCATTAAGTCAGAGTTGAAAAACTGTTATTCAGATTTAGAGAGGTCATATAAAATCAGACATAAATAAACTGATGAGAATAAAAGATCAAATTCAACATACCTCATCTGTAAATACTGACATATCATCAGTTCTTGCTGTTAACTCTATAATATAAAACATACATCATAGCTTGCTATATTATATACAATACAATCACTTTGAATTGTATGATAAAAAACTACAACAAAAATAAATGGGAATTGGTATCAGATGTTCCAAAAACCAGTTATCATTATGTGCCTTCTATATTTGATCAGTGTCACTATACTGATAATAGAGAGAGAGAAATGGGGTTTATCTCCCATCGACTTGACACAAACTAAGTCATTTCGTGACTAACACATGGTTCAATTTTATTTCAATAATTCGCTTTCGCTTAGGGGTCTTTAGCAGTGGGAGGAAATGTGAGGACCCAGAGAAAACCCACGGGGTTGGACTGGAGACCCTACATTTTTGTCACGTACAACCGGGGAATCGAAACCCTGTCTGTTGACTCAATGACAAACCTTTTTGGAAGATGGGTGCTAGAAATGCTGTTTTTAATTACACTTTTATTGACAATAAACATATTTATTTACATTCCCATTTATATATAATATTGACATTTAAATGTACCTTCTAAATCTATATTATCATCTTCTTTTATGACGACATTGTCATCAGGACTTTTATCTATAAATATAACAGTCATTAGTAGAAATAACAAATAACATGCAACGGTAGGCCCTACATCAGTAAAATATTCATCCACACTACCATTGCTATCGTTCCCAGTACAAATTCAACACTGTTCAATTAGTTTTTATATGTCAATATCTTAAAAAAAACTTGGCTATCCATTCGATTGTTAAAGCGATGTATCTACAAAATGCTATTAAGATTTTACAAAATATTTGTAGGTCAGATTAATCAAAAGAAAAATGGAATAGAGCAATAGCCATGTTGTAAAACCTTCTAGATAATCTGTTTACATTTATATCTATATGAAAGATTTGGAAAGGTTTATAATGCCCTCATATTTCTGCAACAATGGGACTAATGAAAAAAGTAGATCCTGTTAATGATTCATTTTACTACATATAGTTGGTCACAGCAATGAAGGGTGGGACGGGTTCAACTGTTAAAATGATATGGGATTTAAAATCTTACTTTTCTGCACCAACTGGGCTAATGAAGATGGGCATAAGTCATATAATGAGGGAAGTTGTGTCAAGACAGCAGCGTGATGGCCTATTCTTATTACTATATCCAAATATCAGGGGATCTTTAACATGCTGCTAAATGTATACACAGGACCTCAGGGTTTTTTTTGTACTATTCAAACAATTAGACACTTTTCTATGTCAGGCCCTTCGTTCTGCATTACTGACATGGGTAGATCCGGCTGGATGTTCGTAAGTAATGAATCAACTCTGGTACATATACAACAAACATTAATTTCCAGATTGAAAGTCAAGAACCTGAGAGAAATAGACGAATGGAAAATACATAGCCACATAGATTGTAAATTGTTTTTCTTGTGAAATAAAGTCAATTCACAAAGCAGACATGTCCACAAATATATATATAAAAGCAAGACTGATAAAAAAACAAAACAAAGAAAAAAAAAGCAAAAACTAGAGATATATAGACTACATGAAACAAAAATTAGAATAATTCATTATTTGGGGGTAAAAACTTCATAAACATGACAATAAAACACATTTTGCACCAAATGACACATTCATAATTACCGATATGATTTGAACAACAATCCATATTAAACTTTTAGATTTAGTGAGAATTTAATCAAAAATGTTATTTGTAATAAATTAGTTAGTTTATATAACTAGCTTTCCTACCATTAATCAACGGACTAGAAGCAAGATAACTTGCTCTAAACTCGGCTGTGATTTCATCATCGGGTGTTCTTCCACCAACTGGAGTTATCTCATCTTGACTTCTGTCATCTTCTATTTGTAATTGACATAAACAAAGCAAGGCAAAAATAAGCAACTAAGCAAATTTAAGCTAAAATAGTAAAATGAAATCTAACTAATGATAATTTTTTTATTTTTTTTTTTAAAAAGGGTTGTTCCTAAGACTGTGTGCAAAATTTTGGAACTAACGTCCTAGCTTATCAATTCTGATTGACTTCTTCCATATTCAAGTTTTAAAATAAATCTTGAAATTTCAATCTGTAGGGCATAAATAAGAAATTATGGACAGTTCAGACTAATGATTACTTACAACAACAACATATTTTGCAGTCATACAATTTGATTATTTAATTTTGCTTTGAGATAATTACTTCAAAATTCATAGTGTACTTACAAAAAAAATATATTTAATTGTTCACAAGCTTCAAAATTCCAAAAGTAAAAGGGGGGGGGGGGGGTACTCTAAATTCTGCATAGGATTAGATTATGACTTAATTAAACAATCCTTTTAATTACTATTATAATAAAAATTCAGAAAATAAAACTATGGATTTACTAAGAACTACAGTAACTACAGCAAATTATATTACCAAAATTATCAAGAACTGCACTAGCTCTGGACATAACACCATCCATGATTTCTTTTATTCGTCGATCAGCTTCTGAAGCACTGAAAATTCAAAAAATCAAAGGTTTTATATTAATTGTAATAATTTAATACATAATAAAAGCGTTACTTTTTGTGGTGTTTTTTGGTTTGTTTTCAGGAAGTTTTGCTCTCAAGAAAGTATTGTTTATTATGGCACGACATTATTGCAAATGGCCTAGAAATGAAATGAAAGGAATCAGACTTAATACTTCCATAATTTTGAGATTAATCAGGTATTTATTTTTATCTAATAAAATACAAATCCAAATATAAATATCTTTTCATAGTTTGTATGCCCAATAAGTGAGATATCAAAGAAAACAATTAAAAAACTTACACGCCCACTCTAGATTGATCACGTAAAGATGCTATAATTTGATCGACAGTTCTCTCAGCTCGAACCTCTCCTACCTCTTCTCCATCCTTGACACCTGTTTTACGTTTATCAACTTGTAAAACAATCAGAGAAATTACAATCATAAAGAACTGAGATATAGTTCAAATGTATCATTAAAGCGGCTGATCGTCAATTGAGAAATTTGAATTTTGAATCTCTTGCTAACTACAATATTGTAAAAGTTAAATCTATAAATAGTAACTACATTAAACCATAATCTTTTAGAGGCATTTAGTAAGTGGATAGAGCAATAAACTATAACACATACTTATGGAAAAACAGCTACTTATTTATTTCGGCAGCGTTTCGAAGAGTATTCTCTCAATGTTATCAAGTTAGTACAGTAATACAAAAACTATGAGGCTAATCTAAACAGATAATAAGCTATAACAACAATTCATGAAACTAAAAAAATAAGTAGCTGTTATAGTTTATTACATTAAACCAGGGAGGCTGATTAGGAGAAGTGGAAACTCCTTTATAATCATTGAAATTTTCTCATTCTCCTTTAAAAACTATTTCACATCCATCTTAGAGGTTCAAAAAGTTATATTTTCAAACCATTTCCAGAAAATGTTTATCATTAGAACATCGTCTTTAACATTCATTATTTCAAAAACTAATACAGATATTCAGAAATGATCGATATCACGTTATTCAGAGTTTAATTACCATTCTAATGATGCCAATTATGTCACTTTATGATGATAAACATTTCCTTGAATTGATTTAAACATATCATTTAAGACCTTAATGGGGACTGAAAAGAGATGTTTCTTCTTCTCATTTATGTTTTACGTCTGCTTTCTTGGTAGTGATATTTATACTCCCAGATTAGACAGCAGTCATTAACAGCTTATTGGCTGTAAATTATGACACTCCAAGTGAGAAAAAAAAAGTAAACTCAATCCACATCACTTTTCAATGGACAAATTTAACTCAAACCAGTAGTGGTGTACATGTTAAACCTAGCTCATAACCCACCATACATGCTACTACAGACAGTCTACCAGGGAAATTTTAGTAAACCTGTGCGGGAGACTTATGCGCCACTTGCGTGTATTCGGCACCGTAGACGATTGCATGCTGGCCATAGACTGTAAAAACACGTACAGCAGTTTATATGAGCTATGCTTTACATGTATATATTAGGATGAAAATTGGCAACCATTACAATGTATTGACTTTTACCTTATACAATTACCAACCAATTTTATGGATCATGATATTGATAATAAATATTATTGTTAAGAAATAATGATTTATCACCTAGATCTGTATCAAACAAATATTTCTTCTAATAAAACACATGTTTCAAACAGAACTAATTTATATTTACCTTTGTTATCTTTCTTTGATTTTTTTCTACGTGGTGATTTGGATGCTCTTGGTGATAAACTTTGAGGTTTATTATTGATTGGTTCAGGTTCTGCTTCAGGACCAGCAATCTTCTTAGCTTCTTCAACTAATTCATGTACTGATTTTACCTGAATAAAATAAACATAAAACCAGATGATTACACCAATGAGTACTAGGTAGATGTGTTTAGGTATTAATAGTAAAGAATATCAGTTAAAGATGCATTATGTAAGATTTAGATAAAGAGCAGATTTACGGTAGCTCTTACATAATGCAACTTTAATGTCCAATCAACACAAACTATGTCATTTTGTGATAATTATGGTATACCTTAATAAGAATATGTGGAGAGGTCTTTAGAAAAGGAAGGGGTCTTTAGAAGAGGAACAGGCCTTTAGAAAAGGAAGGGGTCTTCAGAAGAGGAACAGGTCTTTAGAAGAGGAAGGGATCTTTAGAAGAGGAACAGGTCTTTAGAAGAACAGGTCTTTAGAAGCGGAACAGGTCTTTAGAAGAAGAACAGGTCTTTAGAATAGGAAGGTTTTTTTTTTAGAAGAGGAACAGGTGTTAAGAAGAAGAACAGGTGTTTAGAAGAGGAAGAGGTCTTTAGAGGAGGAAGGAAACTGGAATACCTGGAGACTTAAAAGTTAGGCAGTTCTACACAAGTGTAGGATTGAAGAAAAAGTGTAGGATTGAACCTGTGACTTGCATATACACAACAGGTTTCATGTTTTACAGTGTGGTACATTAGACAACTTGACCACCCTTACCCCAATATACTGAGGGAATGGCACATTAGATCACTTGACCACCCTTACCCCAATATACTGAAGGAAATTTGAGTGCATTTGTAAAGCCATGTAAAGTAATGACCAAAATTTTCTTTAAAAAGTTTAAAGTTAATGAATGACATGTCATTTTACTCACTGTTCCTGTACTTGATGCAGTACTAAGTCGACTATCAGGCTCCACACCAACAGCTGTTTGTAAATCAGCATCCATATCTCTAACAACATCATCATATTTAGCACAATAATCATCACCAGGTACTGATATATCATCACTTTTTAATGATGATGGTATACTACGACCACCTACAGATAATACATAAAGAAATTAAATGAAATGGGATTTAATGTACTAATGTTCTGCACCGATTGGACTAATGAAGATAAGCTCATGCCATACAATAATAGGGAAATTTTGTCCTGACGCAGTGGCACTATGACCTACTCGTATACAGAATTCCAGCCAATGTCTAAACTATATATAAAGAGATCAAAGTAGATAATATATATCCAGATAATGAATACCTGCGTACATTTATAACAATGATATAGAACATAATATTAATAAATGGACAACAGTGAGCATTGTACAAGATATATAAATAAATGGTAGACTCGCTCATACAGGCTATGCTGGATACTGCTATGCTTTGGATGCAAATAATCTGTTTAAGTTCTTGACATACCGATCTGTGCCTCGTGCGAATAACATTTCTACATCCATATAAATTAATAATGATGAAGATTTATTTGCTGAAGGAAAGGTCCAGTATTAATATTCATCTGTTAGACGGTTTGGCAGGATGATAAAATCTAAATATATTGTAAATAGCATCTGCATGAATGCCAAAAAGTAAAAGGATGCCCATGAGTGTAGTTTATTTCAATATTGTGGGCCATTATAAGATTGGTGTAAAACTGGTGCACAGAATAAAAAAAATTAAACTATCAAGGTGAAAACAAAACTGTTAGACACTAGCAGAGAGTAAGTAAAAACAAGACCTATAACCTGTTTCTATCAACAGCACTATGTAATAACAATAACAGTTGCATTCTCAATGTATCCAAGATAGTTTACACAAGGGAAATAACTCTATTTTGTAACATCTTTATGGTGTCAGACTATAGACAATTTCTCCACTGATTTCAATACATCATGGCCTATTGCTTTTTGAGTATATACTGCTGAGGATGTCAATTTCCACATGACTACCACACGACGACTAATTTCTAACAAACAAACTGTTGCCATGCAAGATACACCCACATTTCACAAGTGAAGAAAATGTGAGTGTATAAAAAATAAGCCTACTTTTTATTCTTCTCTGACGCTTAGCGTCAATGAATGAAGGGCGAGCTGGAGGCTTTTGTCTCTCACTGAACTTGACGGTTTGTATTGTACCAGTTACAGATAAAATGGCTGGTTTTGTTTTGGGTTGTTGAAAAGGTGTGTGTGCCATTATTTCATCCCCTATACTCTCATCATCATAAATATCAGATTTAACATAACTTGATCGAGCCGTATTTGCCTTGTTAGCCTGGAATTAAAGTGATAAAATATTAGGAATTCTATACTTATTATCCAACGAAATATATCACATGTGTCTTACCATTCAATGAATTTGTGCAGACTTTGTTGTAGCATGGACCTTATTATTGTATTATAAGGTCCATGGTTGTAGTCTAGCACTAATGGTCCAGGTGTCTTATAAATGCCTACGTGTGCACTGAAAAGCCTAGAATACAACATTACATTGTTGACAATGACAGGTATTACTTAACCAACAGAACTACAAAATTTGGCTGAAATTTATCCAGCGGTTAAGGTGAGGCTCAAACTAAGCAACAATCATACCAATTATTATCAAAGACCTTCAAGAAAAATTTTGCTATACTTTGGTATTTATGTCCCGCTTTGACCTTTTAGGTCCGCCCTTTTAGGTCCACCATTTTTGTTTTAACAAAAGATTATCTTTAGAATCTAAGACGCCTTGCTACTACATTTTAGAAAAAAATCCATTTAGCCAATCCTAAATTTGCAGTTTAAATTTTAAATTAAAAGGTGTCTCTGGAGGGCAAAAAAACTTCATTTACTCAAATATCAAGACAAAAAACCCAACCATGCTGACAACAGGCTTGCAAAATTTCATTAAAATCCATTACCGTTACGTGGTTTAGAAGAACAAGTAAAAATATGACTAATTGTTAAAGTCAGACGGACGGATGACGGACAGAAGTGATGATAATGATATAAGCCTTTCGAGTTACTGTAGTGGCCTCAAATGGGACATTTTATCAATTGATTTGAAAAATAAGCTTTTAAATTATCTGAACCAGATCAGGACTTGTACGTCTCATGTTTTAAATTTAAAATGATAACTGAAGCAATTTATTTTTCTGAAAAATTTAATCACATTTTAACATTGAAATTAAAAAAGTAAATGTATTAAACAATGTTACCTGTTCCATTTCTTCTAATGTTGTATCAAGTATATTACCAGCTGGCATTCCTCCCATAATTACATGCAATTTTGAGATATCTTTACTAAAAAAAATATCACAATAAGAAATATATAATGAGGCTGTTCTGCATAAAACAAGTTCAAGCATACTTTAAGGACCGGCAACCAAGAAGGACATCATCACTGCCATCTTGTAATTCTGATGTCATATCAAAAATAGAAGTCTGTCAATTGATGCGCAATTGTACAAGGAATGAGTATACCAAATATCATGTCAATTGTATTTGAACTGTTATTTGTTGTTTATTTCATGCAATTTCTATGCAGGTTTTTTTTTCGGTTTTGTTTTGCATGTAGTGTGGTCCTCCTGCACTTACTAACAGAGCCTTAGACTCTTTTCAAAGAATGTTGGCCCCAAGAACAAGAACTACAATATTAACAAGATGAGGGGCCCAGTTCCTCGTCAAAAATTAAAGGCTTTATAATATATTTTTTTTATAAGTTAGAAATTAATATTGTTAAATGGTATTAACCATCCTAAACTAATTATTCTTATAGTACTTACCTTAATCTAGATGGTACGACTCCTACTGATGTTGTTCGAGGTTTTCTCATTTCTTGAAATAAAAGAGACAAGCATACACGTACTTTAATGAAAATAGAAAATTTTATCTTGAGTGAAGTTGACAATAAAATTTATTTTCTGCAAACTGGAGAAGGATAAAAGAAAGGAACAGTATCATCATTTTTAACTTTTTTCACCCTTGACTTAAAATGATCAGTTTTCTAACAATAAAATGAAGTTAAATAATTGCATGGGATCAGCATACTTATTATAATCATGAATTCATATTCTATTCCCCAGTTGTTATGGTGTAATTTTATAAACAAAGAAAACTTGACCAAACTGATTTCAAAACAATACTACTCAGCAATTACATCATTGATAGAGGGATGAAAATTGATGTAGTAATATCAACTTTCCATTCAGTGTTGAAAAAACATGTAAACCATTATACAAATATTTAAAAGGATAAATACTGCAGTTTAAAGTAGATTAAAATTAATATAAGTCAACATATACCACATTTACTGAAATTATATGTAAATATGTGACAATTACTTACACCCAGATGAGTTTGTTTTTTGGCTGCAAACAAACAAATTTATTTTTGAACTTTTTGTTTGCCAGAATCGTTACCTACATTGATTCTGCATTAGGGTAGTTTTAAAGAGTTGAAATTGAAGAAATTCTTAATCTATTGCAACTTTTAAAAGATGTCTTACCTTCTGTTGTAATTCTTTTATCATTAATATAAGGAAATTTGTTGGATTTTGCAGGCGAGGAAGATTTGAAATCTCTATCTAATGGATTATATACCGGAACTGTAGCTATTCTTTGAGACTGTTCCTATAAACATAATTATTATGCAGTTGTTGAATTTATGAAAACATTCAAAATAAATCAAACTAATGTGATTATTAATCAAACATAATTAAGAATAATGTGGAAAGAAAATTATGAATTAGACATGTTCTTGAAATTTAACTGTGCATTACATACAAAAATCATCAATTTCTGACAGGGACTTTGTGAGAAATATTCAATTTCTTCCCTTTTGTAGTCTTTATAAGTTTATAAACACATATAAAAATGTGACTCTAAGGGGTATTTAAGGGGTTTGCGATAAATATTTAGTTCTAATCCCTTTATTAAACATTTGACATCAGAGCGTATTTGATAGTTTGACAAGAATCTGGCCTCCTTGACATCTTGGCATTTGAATTAGGCCTCCTTTATTTACATTCAAGATGTTGCGTGTTAAGGTGGTGGTACTTGCCATCCTGGAATTCAGGGCTGTACATTCTTTTCATATGATGTGATCAACAGGATTTGGATTTAAAAATTTGACCGTAAAGAAAATGTAGAGAACATATAAATTGGTTTAATGTCAAACATTTCCTAACACACCCAGCTTGTCAAATCTTTTGCATACATGAGGGAAATTTATATCAACATCACTTGGACCTGCATTAATTTATTAGTTAATGTTGATTATCAATAGAATATATTTAAATTGTACACAAAGCAAGGTAGTTTTACTCATATTTCCCCACCCTCACCTCCTCCCGCTTTAAAGATATACCAGTATTCATTTAGGGGTTTGAGGAATCAGAAAATATCTGTAATTAAGCTACAATCTATTGAAGAACATCTAAGCTATGGAGAATAAAATTTTTATGGTCTTAAACTAAATGTCTTCTATGATTCTAAGATAGTACTCTGTACATGTACAGGAGTCCCGTCACAGTATCAGCCCACATTCTCTAAATGGCAGTCACAAAACAGTTGTTAAAAACTAATTTACTTTCAGTATTTTAGTATATTTTGGACATGCTTGGACAACACTATGCAGAGAGCTGTTCAGATTAGTACTATTTTATTAGCTTTATATTTACTTACTTTTTTATTTGGTAAGTCATCATGATATATTGGATGTTTTTTTCGCTTTTCTCTGTACTTTACGGGCAAAAATTCAGGTTGCAGTTGTCTATTAAGATATCAACAAAATATATTGTAACAGTATGAAAAAAAATTTTCAATTTAAGTAGATGACAAATACAGACTTTGCAGTTAAAAAGCAAGAAACATTATGATCTTATTTTTCTCTAAAAGTAGGTCACTACTTGAATTTTCGATACATTTACGTGTAAGCTTACTCAGTTAAATGAAAATATTCTCATTACACTTAAATTATTACCTGGACAAGATTTCTTCTTCGTCGAGGGGAAGTTCCTTTTCTGACTGTTTCTTAGCAATGATATTATCAACCGATCTTTGGGCAACATCAATGAGTTCTTGTCTTAACATTAAATCAACATGACGATTCTGTCTGAGACGAAAGGCAGAACCACGAGAGGACGGGCTTGTTGGAAACAGTTCTTTACCAATTCCTGGCATTTTTCTTTTATTGTTGAAAACTTATCTAGAACTGAAATAAGGGAAAAACAAATTTTTATAGTAAACTTAAACATATACATTATGCAAGAGCTAAATCTGCCTATTGCAGGTCCTTCTGTAGGCCTGAAATGTTTTCTAAATTATTAATTAGACATTAATTAACTTATCCAGGCCATAATCAACTCTCCATGGCATTGGATTTCTCCAATATTAAATAGATTAGAACAGTTCAGCCATATTTTGATTTAAGCTAAAAATGGAGGAGCGAGATTTAGCTTCGGACAACCAGTACGATGGTTGAAATTATTGCACATGTCTTGCCAAACCTCCAAAGGCTAATATCTTCACTCGCAATAGTGTAATATGTATGAAATTTTCAAATTATTCATTTTACATTATCTATTTTCGAACTATTATTATAGCAAGAATGGCTAGCTCGTTATCTAAATCTTACATAATGTATCTTTAAACTTAAGCTTATTTAATCAATTAAAATTTATTATTAATGTGTAAGCTTTATAAATCAAAACTGAAATGATTTTTGTTTTCTTTGTTGAAAGCAATGATGTTGCTTACAATTCCCCCACAAGACTCAAACCAGACAATCTTTGAGTTAAATTACTGATATTATTCTCTATATAATATTTTCTTTGAATTAATCAAATTTGCAAGAAATTAAAAGAAAAGCATGAAATAAACAAGATATATAATTTTACTCAACATTAAGTATTTACTCTAAATATTGTGACCTCTTTTTCTGAGGCTATTATAATGGTCTTGTGATGCGCAATGCTTATAGTTATTACTAAGGATGGAGATATTTGGTCAAGTTATCAATTTTTTTTACCTAGTCTTATTCAAATTCCAACACTCAAGTTTTATTTTTACATGCACAGCATTGTGTACACTGATGATAGAAAACATGTTTTCTTGTCTTATGGCTAACAGGCTTTAAATATGACAACTTGGAATGGTACCCCATGAAAAAACCTAAAGGTTCTTCTTAGTTCATGCTGGGATTCCTAAACTGGAAACTGTAATCAGTGTCAAGTGTCTTGACTGCTTTATTACTGCATGCATTCTAGCCCTCACCCACCAAATATTTAGACATTCGGATCCTTTCTTTTGACAAAATTGGTCAATTGAAATAGAGCTGTTTCTACAACAGCAGATGAGCATAGCTATATTTATTCAGTTCTCGTAAAACAGTTATAAATGCAGAGTGTAGACAATACAAAATTGGACCCATAATTGCAAAAAGATGACTGGCATCTGCATCAGTTCCAAAACTTCGGTGGAAGTAACAAATTTTGACTCAACAAAGACTGGGAGAAAAAAGGAGATCTTTTATAGTCTATTTTTATTTGAAATCATTAAAAATCGGGAATGGGTTGGGATCTAAAGTATAATAATGAAATATTCTTACAGTTATATGTTGTTAATTGCATAATTTATCCGAATAATTGCCGGTAATCTGCTAAAAGAGAGTCTGTTTTGGATAAAAGTATAATTTTGTCGGCCATACTGTTTACATGTTGACAGGCACGAAGTCTCGCGAGATCGGTAATGTGACTGGATTAACAAGTCTCTTTGATAATGGTACGCTAGACGTGTTCCCAGCAAAATAATGCATTTTCTTACTTCCTCACGTATAAAGCATACTAGAATATTTTCAAGTGACACCCGCGAAAAATATAGGGCTTTATACGAAGGTAAATGAACGATTAGAAGAGGTTTATTATTGTGCGAATTCCAATTGTGGTTAGAGATCAATATTAATCAGAATCGGCTACACTTGTTTACAAAATTAAAAATAAATATTACAGGGACCCATATATAGACGGAAGATTTAAAAATTACGTCTGAAAATTACGTTATAATACTTTAATTGAACTTTTAATTTTGGAAATTATATTTCATTTCCATGGTCAATGATCTTGATCTCTTGTAAATTTATTGTTCTTAATTTCAATGTCAAGAAAAGCTCCTTTAGGAATTCTCTTTACGAAATTCCCGTTTATTTTCGCACATTTTACTAAGGACATTGGTTGAATTCCGAAATAAGATAGTTTAAATGAAACACAGTTCATAAAATAATCTTTAAAGCATTTTTAAAAAAAAAAAATTCTGATGAAATTGGCTTAAAACTTTTATTTGGAATTAAAATTACTTAATCGGCTTGTTTTGAATGTTTTAAATGAAAATTTAAACAGGCATGAATAAAAGGCATTAAAAAATTCGCAACATTTTCTTAAAAAAAATATTGAATGAATAGATACAAATCAAATAGAAAGCACAAATTCAGAATTATTTTGTTTAAAATGACAAGCTGACGTCATCATATTGTATGTTTCTTTGACGTCCGCTCCAAAGGTATATAAACAATTGACGTAACATTTATCGGTTTCATTCCTGAAATAGAAGCTTACAGGTCCGGTGAGTAGATCAATGCATTTCTTTTCTTTTTTTTATTTATTTTTTTTTCGAGGGTTGTAGGTAGAAAGGAATTCTGTAGTAAAATTTAAACACGTTGTTTGACAAAGTATCAGTTCTACCGGTATCAATTCTTGTTATAAATTCCTTAACCTCAGTGAATAAGATGCTGGCTCGCTGGGGGTCTCGGGTTGACTAGAAAGTTACTCGGTGGCGCAAGACAGAGGGTCCGACAAGGACAGCTGACAAGTCCTTCGGATGGGACGAAAAAACGAGGTCCCGTGTACACATTGGCGTGAATGTAAAAGAATCTTGACTTAATTGAAATTCGATATGAGGAGGCGGTAGTGCCGCTTTACGGGCAAAATTCCCCTCATAGCACACTGCATGGCGTATGCCCGTCTTCATTAGCCCAGTCGGTGCAGAATAGTAGGACGTTAAACCCCATTCCAATGCATTTTCCTTACACTCTTTATATTGAAATTTCTTTTCGTGTCTTTTATTTTCCCGTTAGGGAGTGGAGAGGAGGGGGGGGGCTTAGTTATTATTTGGTCTTCGAGCTTCACGTCTGAGCACAGAAAATGTTTTTATAGAGGAATTTTCCATAGTTTGCGGCAAGTTACATGTACATACATAGACAAGTTTTCTCAGACGTTCCGTTATAAGGTTATAATTTACAGATTGGCTATAGTATAAATCAGACAGATAGTAGCCGAGTTAAATGTATTATTGTATTTTCATACAGAAAGGGTGTCCGTGCACCATAATGCTACATCAATTAAAAACGTGATAAGTTTGAATGATCTTGTTGAAACAATACATGTGTATGAATTTTGCATCCCAATACTTGAAATTAAACCGAAAAGACATGCAAATCGGGACGCTTCGCATGGTCTAAACACAGTTGATTGACTTCACCGGCTAAACGTAGTTACCTCCCATTTGGCAAAACATCAATACTAAATTCCATCGTTCCCTAGTATAGGATACAATAAATATCGATTTACGACAGAAATCAATTTAAGATTTTTTGATAAGGTGAACGTGTAGCTTACCGAATTTCAGGGTTTACGACTGTGGGGAGAATACAAGGAAAATGGAAAATAAAATACTCCGTTACACCATGGACCATATAATAATAATACATTTTTATTTTTTTATTTATTTATTTATTTATTTTTGTTGTTGTTTTTTGGGGGTTTATTTTTGTATCCATTTTGTGTACCATTCTCTAGACTCTTTGACCGTATTCTTGTGAATTTTCATTCATCTGCTTAGCACTATTACGAAAAGCCTTACCTAGTCATTTGCTCAGTATACGCCTTCACTAGACTCATATATGGCTAAATTTAATCAATGTTATTTTGTCAAGATTACATATCGTAATTTAAATCTTTACTGCCTCACTGAATATTATGATCTGCATATTATCTATAGCAATGATGAGGCTGTTCGTTTGACTCAATCTATACAGAAACAGTCTTATAATACACAAATCTAACGCTTCTTCATTTACTATTGTTAGATGACCATTCTATATCCCAGTCCCAGAAGATGGTCCGAAAGAAATACAATCGTTTTCGATGGATTTTTGCAATCAAATAACTTTTGTAAAACCCTACGTCATTCTGACTCCAGATTCCTTACCTATTGTCTCTATTGCCATTTTAGCATTTACCCCTTCTCCCAATCCATATTATACTATACTGTCTTAGTCAGATTACATGAGGAGAGGCTACCCAATACAAGATACAGATCAGATATTTATACAAATACTGAAATTCGTAACAGATTGTCTATAATCAACTGTCAGGGTATTTACTATTTAAAATCAACACAGTGGAAAGATATTGAACTAAAGAGCCTAGTAATTAATATGAAGGCTTTTAAACTCTAAAGTCACTAAAGACATTGAGGAAGTTTGATATGTTAAAGTATGTATATACAGCATGTCCCATTGAACCACAAATTTAGTCATTAATATATATACTATTGTAAAAGTCTTGATTATGGCAAATTTAGTCTGAATATCCAGGTCGAGACTGGACTCGGATGATTCACACATTCTCCTGGGACCTTATTCATGAAACCTTAAACTATAAATATTTTAAGTATAATGATAGCAGTTCATTCGTCGTCTGATCACTAAAATCATAACCTGAATTTTAGCTCTTGACTAATTAAACGGTTACATTCTTAAAATATTTTAATTTAAGTTTTCTAAATATAAGGTTCCCGATACTACACTTCTAGCTGTGATGGATGAAGATATTCACCAGGATACCACTTGCCAATTATCTTCCAAGTCGTTGACATTGAATGTTCTTCTTCGCTCCTGAGTTAACAAAAGAGAACGTTCATAGGGATTTTCCGACATAGTTCCCCATTGTCAGCGGTGCAGGACTAGGGGCCTGACATGGGACAACCTATAGTCGTTCAGATGGGACAAAAAATCGAGGACCCGTGTACACTTTTTGGCGTGTACGTAAAAGAATCCTTGACAGTTGGAGTAGGTCGAAGTAGGGCTGGGCGGGCAAATTTTCCCTCATAGCACACTGTATGGTGCATGCCTGTCTTCAATAGCCCAGTCTTAGCAGAAAAGTAGGAAGTTAAACCCCATCTCATTTTATTTCTTTGAAATACAAAACACAGGTTATTCCTTTTCAAGATTTCTACACGTTATTTTGATAAGGGAATAACACACGTGTTACTTTTTATAATGGCCGAGAACAATGCGTTATTACTGAGATGTCAAATTTTCATTCATTTCACCGAGTTTCATTTTCTAGAAAGCATTGATTCATGTTATTTATTCGACGGTTAACAAAGATGGTTTGGAGAAATAACTACACAGATTTGACGTTTAACCCATTCAATTTTCATATTGATGGTCAAAGCCATTGCCGCCGGGCCTGTAATTTTAACTCAGGCCCATTAAAGGTGGTCCCACTCATCACCTCACAATCTTTATCACGACAGGGAAGCGCTGATGTTTAATGCCTCACACTGGTACGAGAACTTATTTCATAATTTCAAAGGTCTTCGCGGTAAAATAGCTCATATCTGTGTTGATTCCCACCATTTTAATTTACATCACACTTGAACCATGTGATTATATGTGGTGAATGTTGAAAGTTTGATTGAATGTTTCTAGAAACTGTGATAATTATCTGTCTATCCGCATTTGCAAGAATCATCACATCATCACCTTTTTTATAAACAATATTTTATTCAGGCTAAGAAAAATTGCCCCACCTCGGTTGGACATGTACATAACAGAAGATAATTTGTAATTTTGTCTTGCTAAATTTAAGATAATACAAACTGAACTAACTTTTGGATGTTAATAAAAAGATAAGAAATTGAAATGGGGTTTAACTATACCGGGCTAACATCCTCCTTTATTATTAGGATAAGTACACGTCACTTTTGGGTTGAGACAGATGATAGACAATAATGGTAATTATAAGCTTATTTTGATGGCAATATTAAATATTTTTCACCTTTTGTAATAGTTAAAACATGCATACTGACCCAAGTTTAACCGTAATTAAACTATCTTGAATTTATGTCAGAGTTGCGAATAGGCTTCGTCCTATTTATTTGTACAACTGCGGTTTTAATTGTCAAAATTGTAGATTTCGTACCATTGTTTATTTGTTGACATCAGGCTGTTGAAGTCCAAGGTTTCCGTGTTGTTTAAATATTCCCGTAACTCAATAACTGTGATAATTATCAGTCTACTTGTTTTAATTAACATGATGACATCATCGGTTAATAATACCATGTTGTAATTCCCACCGAGACGATGACAACCACAGCGATAAATTTTTAATGGGCCCTGTGACCGAATTGGCTAAAAGTAAAATGAACTTAAAAAGTGTCTTGTTTGAAACAGAAATGAAATGGGGTTTAACGTCCTACTCTTCCGCAGCGACTGGGCTAATGAAGACAGGCATACGCCATGCAGTGTGCTATTAAGGAAGTTTGCCCGAACAGCGGCGCTACGGCCTACTCTTATTACGAATTCCAACTGCTAAGGGTTCTTTCACGTACACGCCAATGTGTACAACGACTATGGGCACATATATATGTGTTTCCTGT